CACTGTGGGCGCTCACAATAATGATGTGAGGGTATCCTTGTGAGTCTTTGCAGCTGTATTTATCTTCACTGTTTCTTTGATTGCACCTAGTTTTTCTTCATCTGTGTGAAGACAGATACATGGAACGTGGTGTAACTGGCTTGTTCACTGTAATCTGATTCAAGCCTCTGTTCAATATCTCTTTGATGAACCCATATTTACTGTGTTGCAGGAAAGGGTTGAATGCTAACATGCGATTTAAAATCAGTTCAAAACAAAATATTCCCTTTTACAGTTCACAGTTCTTTGACAATGAGCCGCACAGCTCTGCAAAGTTGATTGCTGTAGAGCTGAAACAATTACCTGATTAATCTTTTAGTCAATCGCAGTAAAATGAATCAGCAACTAATAACAATTTGAATAATTTCCAAGTGTTTATATGCATGTCCCAGCTTCTCAGAAATGAGAATTTGCTGCTTTTCTTTGACTTATTACGATAATCTTTGGGGTTTGGATTGTTATGATGTGCATTTTTACATTTTTTGGAAACTGTCAAGAAACAATTTAGGCAGATGAATCGATAATGAAAGGGAGATGATGAAGAAATGTGACGCTCCATAGAACAGGTCAAGGAAACACTTTTTTTGGCACCCTACCCTGCATTTCTCCTCCGTGACACAACCGCCTGCTGCTACAATACATCTGTCTCTTTGAAATTATTTTTTTTGAGCCAGTACTGTTATTGGTGTGAAATAGTCCCCTTTCTGTTGTTACACACACAGTTAGTGTAGAGTGAAAGGAAACTTGTGTTTTGCTGTTGTGCTGGTTATCAGTGATTTGTGACAGTTGGAAACCTGAACCCTGTGAGGAGAAAGCAAGACCACACAGAGAGGAGGACTGTAATAAAGGCCAAAGTATACAGGAGCATGCTAAATTGTTCTGCTATGACCTAGATCCTTTTTAGGTATTGATTTCTTTTTAGCCAGACTGCCAGGCTTCTTGTGCCCAGTAACAGAAAAAAATCAGTAGGCAGCTGAGAGTGGGAGACGAGAAGTACACTCTTTCTAGGGTAATTGTTCCAAAGCTGAATTTTAACAGTTCATGGCATTTATATTCATACTTAATGAAATACCCAGACTCAAGTTGGAACAACAGAACCATTCACGGGCAGGAAAAATAAATGTATCTTTAGCAGCTTAGCAGCAACAAATAATATGTCATATGCACGTCTTTCAGAGAGTTCTCTCTTAAAGCAAATGTTTGGCTTTCAGACATGTTACAACACTCTTCCACTCTTGGCTGTGATGAACGGTTTATTTCTTAGCATATCAGCCTGTCCCCCTCAGTTTAGTCTCATAGCAATTTGGCTGAAATGCCATTGCCATTCCGCTGCCTTGGTTTCAAGCCAAGGTTACCACGTCCATATACTGTAAGGGCAGTGGGCACAGAGCCCTGGGAAAATAAAGTATTTCATTTTAATACTGGCAGCCCTGGACGTCCATAGTACAGAGTCCAGTCCGGGCTGTATAGTGTTTATCTCAAGATAAATTGATACTGCCATATTGCCTGCTGTTATTTCCCATGTGGGGGAATAAAGCGTCACACCTGGAAGACAGAGTTGACATGAGTTGTGAGTGTGTCAGACTATAGCTTGATTAACTTCTCTTAAAAAGAATTATTATTATTACATCATGGGAGGCGGATGGGGTGCGCTTTGGCCCTACTCTGGAGAGGGTCCATCTCGGGCACAGCTCAGCGAGTTTAAACTGGTAATAGAAATCCAAATCAGCGCAGTGCTAATGGAACAGCCCTATAAAGGCTTTATACAACCTTTTTACACTCATGCATGTAAAACACCCATAAAGTCAGGAGAGGTCCCCTTTAAGGTCTGCATGCTGTGCTGTACCATACTCAGACACTCACAACCTGCAGGGCGGTTTAAACTGTGTCCTTTGAGAGCCAGACAGTACCTTATTGTCCAGCTAGAACATCAAAGTCCATCATTTATAAGATTGTAGGCAGAATTTATGCAAGCTGTAATATGCCCCTAGCACACGTGCACACACACACACACACACACACACACACACACACACACACACACTCCCTCAGTGTGAGAACAGAAGCAGAGTCTGATCTCTTGTTTGTCAACACATTCCGGAGCCCTAATTGGCACGCTGAGCAGCGAGATGCTACACTGATGTCATGCTGAGCTAACCTTTCTCCGCATCCGTGTCTGGTCATATTTCAGCAGGAGACGAGTCATCAGTACAGGCTGGAGGAGAGTTGTTTTAGGTTTCCAAAATATTGCAGATGTGGTCATGTTGAGCACAGCGAGCACCTGGAAATGTACGCCAGCTGTTCTTTGGATATGTTTTATCATCTTGTATTCAGGGAGCTTTTTGGTCCATTAACATACTTAAAATGAAAGGCTTAGTTAGTCTGGTTGACTAATAGTCGTTACACAAACTTTGGTCAAATCAAACCATTGCAGGTGCTTTATAAACAGGATTAGGAACGCAGTGACCTTACTGATGCATTTTTCATTTCGGACAAAACTGCCTCTGTTGTCCCTGTAACACCCCGTTTGTTAAGCTTTAGCAGTGGCTCAGTGTTACTAATGCCTTTCACTTTTGCCTACTCTCAGAACAAATGCCATCTGGAAATCAGACAGAAAACAGGAATTATCCTCTGAACTGCTGCATAGCCTGTGTTTTGCTTGTGGGGGACCACTTTCTGCCACAGCTGCTTCCTTATGCATGCCGTGTCCAATGCTAATGGGTGAACAGAATTGATATAAAGCCTGCCTCAGGGACCTTCCTCTCCTATACTGTGCCATGCTTGATGTAGCGGAGACATTGACCCTGACACCTGTGACAGACAGGATGAGAGAGCCACTCAGAGCTGGTGTGTCTCTCAGACATGTTGTTGAGGCACAGGTGTGTCTTGAGATTGAATTTTGATGGATTGTATTCAAAATCAAACCAAACAAATGACATTTACCTTATAAGCACTGTGAGTACGGCCTCCAGCCCAGCTCATTCTGCTGCTCGCTTTCTCAATGAGCACTCAGTTAGTTTAATTACACACAGCACTGCTTAGCCTTAGGCTAAGTCCTGCAACGCTTATACTAACCCAACTAAGTCAGGTGTGAAGATAGGGCTAGGCTCATTTAGGATGCATCAGATAGGTAACTCAAGGCTAAGCATGCAGCTAACCGCGTTTCATAACCCCTGTGAAAAGTCTTTATCATCATGCTTTTCAGAGTTTGATTCAGGACTCCATTCAGCCAACCCATTAAGTATTGAGGGCATCAGAGCATTTGAGCTTAATTAGAAAGTTACTTAAAAATCCTCATCGTTGTAATTACATTAAGAGCTGCCAATATTTGACTGGAGCCGCTGTGGTGTCTTTTTTTTCCCCTCCCAGCCTGAGTGAGTTGGCTCAGCTTCTCTGCTAAACATCGAATTGGAGATGGAAATGTTCATACAAATTAACAAATGTTTGTATGTGATTATATGGGTATGTTAGGACATATATCTGTGCTGTTTAATGTGTATTTAACCAACTTGCTCAAATATCTGCGTGTGTGTAAGAGAGAGTTAAGGACACTGCATACTGTAAGCAGTGACATGAAGTTGTTTACTGTCCCAGCTCCATCCTGGAGGCTGTTTCTCATCCTCCTGCTGTTAGTTCTGTTACCATTCTTCACACTGCTGGAGCGGGGTGTGTGTGTGTGTGTGTGTGTGTGTGTGTGTGTGTGTGTGTGTGTGTGTGTGTGTGTGTGTGTGTGGGTGTGGGTGTGGGTGTGTGTTGCTTAAAGTCTGTATGGCCCAGTGATTCTGCATGCTGACAGTCTGCTTTATCAGGGTGCAACTAGCAAGTGCAGATACGCACACTTGAATAAGCATACACACACACAGATGAATTGACTTGACATTCATTTTACTGTTTGCACACACACTTGTTCTGCATGATAACATCGTACAGCTTGTTTTGGGTTTTACTGAAATTGGACATATTATGGACGCAAACATTGGACCCCTTATTTGTGCCGTTCCACTTTCGACCTGTAATGCTGTGAGAGCAGTTCTGGTTTAAATGCCATGGGAGAGAGAAGATGGGGAAACATTGTTGTTTATGTTTACTGTAGGATATTCTTCCCACACTTCTTTCCATCTCTGTTGTTTCCAAGCTCTTGAGTACACCCACTTCCCTTAATTGTCAGCTTGTTTCCATTCAATGGCATCTTTTCCATCGTAGTCACCTTTTCTGAAGACATAAGAGGAAATGGTTATCGATGAAAAACAGATTTGTAAAATGAGACATCCTTCCCACTCAAGCGTCATCTGAAGTGACATCAGTCAGCGATGACGCCTGCACAGTGGGATCAGCTGTCAGTGGGCTTTAACTTCTCTGTAGCATCGACCGTTGCTTTCAAGTTTATATTTAAAGAGATGATATGATCTGCAGCCCAAATAATAAGGAACGTAACAACGTGTTGCATGACAGAACAGACTGTTAAAGTTCACACGCTACCCAAGGTTTAGCAATATTTCATAGCTCAACTTTTCCAGTAGGCTGTTTTATTGAAGAGCACATTGAAATGTTTGTGGCTTTTTTAGTCGATGCCGCAGGGTGTGGTGAGATTGGGCTTTTAATTACTATACAGTGTCACAAAATATAATATTAGAAAATACAAACAATTGAGTGTGGGAGACTTGCATCTGCATTTGTAGATTTTATTTCTTTTGCATATAAATGTGTAAAAATAACTTGGGAGTCTATCCATCTTGGAAAAAAGGAAACTATAGCCCACATCACAGCTGGTGTTTGCACCCAGTACTGTGGGTGTTATTTTTTATTTATTTATTTGTTTTTGTCATTCTGACTGAATAGAAATGTTTATAATATTTACAAAAGCTTTAATCGTGTATGCTGTAATTAAAAACAAAACATAAACAACTTTGTCTGAGAGTGCACATGGATTCACTTTCTGTTTGGTTCCCTCTCTGCCTCAGATATCTGGAGTCTCGGTGTGATCCTGTTCATGTTGGTATGCGGCCAGCCGCCCTTCCAGGAAGCTAACGACAGCGAGACCCTCACCATGATCATGGACTGTAAATACACTGTACCGGCCCACGTCTCCGCCGCCTGCAAAGAGTGAGTGATACATGCACAGCATTCACACAACGGGACCACTGACCTCCGTCTACTCCATTAGAAGTAATGCATATTCTAGTACACTGAGCTTGGTCTGCTTTTTGATTTCCTGCACTATTCCTCCAGTTCTGCCCGCCATGCCCATTTTCCACTATACTCCTCTGTGTATTAGCTGGTGTATCCCACTTTTCCCGTGTGTGTGTGTGTGTGTGTGTGTGTGTGTCTGGCTTATAGTCGACATACTCTATATGTGGTTTCGAGAGCAGCCAATCGCATTAAGCTGACAGGGCCTGTAGTGTGTAGCCGGGGGCGTTGACCTGCGATCATACTGCAGTTACCGCACCAGCATGCACCAGAGACCTGATCACAGTAATAGGCCACATTGTGGTGTGGTTGCTCTAGTGCCACGCTTTCTGTAAAAAAAAATATGTTTTATATATGATACATTACAACACAATCAATCAACAGTTATTTCACTTTGTAGTAAAGCTCATCTGTCACATAGGCCAATCCTTATGATTGTCCCACGCTCTTTGGGTGGATGGAAACCATGACTCATCATGTTTCAGTCAATATTCCAGGCACACAGCAGGAGAAGAATCTAATATTAGGGTTAGGGTTTTTACTGCATAGAGGGATTTTTGGCACCCCCCCAAAGAGGTTTCAGCCTGCACCAAAGGAAAATCATGAGCAGCAAACTGATAAGATTTGAGAATAAAAATGGCGATTAAAATCCTCTCCGAATGTGTTTAATCAGCAATTTATCAAACAGCCGTTGAGCAGAACTACAGATGTTCTGATACAATTTTTTTCCTTCCCTATTCAGATACCTGAACTTTGACTATTGGCCAATATGAGTACCGATCCGATTCCAGTACATTTAAAAAAGATTCCTTTGTTGGTTTGGGTTGATTAGATTCGCTGAGAATATCAGGGTAAGCCAATAAGAGTCAGAGCATGGCAGGTCATGACTTTGCCATCCTGGGGGAAAAATGGCAAATAGGACCCTGCTAGGAAGTAGCAGGGTCCTGTTTCGAGGCAAAAATATTGCATAGTATTGGATCGGTGCACAGACGTGTGCTTGCCGATACCTGATACCACATTTTAGGCAGTATCAGGGAAATGTCTGATACTTGTATCGGTATTGGAACAATGCCGAGCAGAACATAAACTTAAATATGATGTCTCGTCCCTCTCACCCATAGCGGCTAGCACCAAAACCACTATGATGTTTTTGGATTAATATTACTGCTGCATTAATCTGCATGTTGCACTTTACTTCTGTAAACGTTGAAGGCTAAACTCCTTTTAACTACTACAATAACATATATGTCGCACTGTACCGCCCTGAGAAGGCACTGGAAGATGCAGTAGCCGCACTGATTTATTCCAGGCCCTGCAGACCAATTTGCTCCAGTAGCTGGCAGGGTTTTAATCTCAGTTTGAGCAGCCCAGCTGCAGAGCTGTGCAATCCAACTGCACACGACAACACATGTTCCACACCCAAAATAAGTTAGGCAGTTAGGCAAATAAATTAGCAGCTGCATAATGAACCGTGTGTGTTAGTAAATCACACTCTTAATTTTGTACTAATTAATTCTCTCAATATACGCTGGGGTAATTTTTGAAGCAGTATGAATGGACAGCTTGTCTAAGAACTGTGGCCAGGATTAATCAGGAAAATATTAATGATGCAGTTTTTTCCTCACCCAATTTTTTAACAACAAAGAGGTTTTCTTTAGGTTAATCACAGCCCTTTTATATCCAATTAGTTTTTGGGCCTTTTTACACCTTTATTTGAAAGGGACAGCTGAAGATGGACAGACAATGGGGGAAAGAGGGGACTGACATGCAGCAAAGGTCCACAGGTTGACCTTGAACTCGTGCTGCTGTGGTAAGCTCTCTGCTTTAGTCCATGGGGCGCAAGCTCCACCAGGTGAGCTACTGGGACATCTCGTATTTGTCTAATTGTATTGAGTATCACAGCATTTATTTTGTGGTTTTGACAACACCCCTAGCTCAGAAGCCCTATCGCACAAACATTTGTAGAAGGCAGTCATAAATATCCTGCATATTGAAGCAGATCTGATTAGACAAACTGTCAGAGGTAAAAACTTTCAGAAATTAGAAGCCACTGTTATTCCAATTCAACACCCATAAGTTGTTTGAATTGACGCAATGGGTAATGAGTGGGTTTCATGGGCATGAGCAGTGGCATCAGAGCCAGTGTGCTCAACATGTTGTGAAGGCCAATTCTTTATTTCCACAGCACATCGGAGTATTTTTAGACACAGGAAATAAACGCTTATCTCCTCTGAGTCGAAGGACATATCTGACTAGATTGAAGTGCTAAGCTGAAGCAGCTGTGAGCAATCTGATGGGCTTTGACTTCAGAGCAGAACAGCTATTTGTCGCATGCTGAGTCCCAAGCTTATATTTTTACCATGTCAGTCACTGGTAAATTATCCTCCCATCTCACAAGTTTGGATTTCCAGCCAGCCTCTGCTGATGCTGCAGTGCTTCATCTTACCACAGTATAGGATTTGAGTATCTTCACACAGGGCAATCGACATCGCCAATTAGAGAAACAGTAGAGACCCAGGCATAATCAACCATTTCAAGATGCTAGATGTAGATATTGTCGTAAATGACAAAGGAGGTCGGATGACAGTACCACAAATAAGACATGAAGAAAAAAACGGGAAGTCTGCCACACTGGTTGTGATTCACCAGATCTATAGCGTCTTGAAACTTTTTTGGGGGGGAAAATCTACAAATTATCACAAAAATCACTTATTAGTTGGCAGAAAGACGAGGTTCCTATATTTTGACAGGGTAAAGATTTTGGCTTATATGAGCCACCATGATAATCCCTCGTTGGATATTGTAATTTGGGAAAATATTTTGATAAAACTATCAGATACTCAGTCATTAGTGGCACAAGGGCATGTGCTACTTCACATTTTTCAGAGGAGACTAGCGAACCTCTGTGGTGTGATTTTCTTTTTTTTTTTTTTTTTAATTTTAAAACAAAGTTATATTGTGTTTACAATAAAGCACGACCAATACTGGAGATGTGAGACCAATATGGATATCTATATTTAAGAGTTTAATAATCCAAAACTGTATGCAGGCCAGTTTTTCATTTACATGAACACATAAACAAAACACAAAAATCTATATATCTAGAGTCGCCAACACAAATGAAAAGAAATCGCATTGTTTAAATGCTAATATGATGTTTAATCAGGAGAGGGGATAGTGTGAACACTGGCCTTTCTGCATCGTCTGCTCTCAGTCTGACTTATGGCTAATTGGGAGAGCAGAGTTTTTCCGCTGCCTTATGTTTGGGGGCTGTGCAAAAATAGAAGAAGGTAGACAAACACACAGAGAAGAGAGTTGGAAAATGTGAGTCTCAAACCCACAGATATTGTGTGTATCTCATAGAGGAAAACAAGAACCAAGATATGGTTTGTATAGGAGAGGGAAAAACCTACAGATGGACAGAGAACGAAACACAAAAGTGAAACTTATAGGGAACATGTTCAAGCCTGTCATGGTTTTCTGTTTGCCCTTCGTCTCTTCTCTCTGCTTGGTGACGCAGCAGGAAACCAGGAGATCCAAAGCTGCAATATTGGAGACATCTTTCTTTGACACAGAGACTGTGTCCAGGCTCAGTCATTTTTCCTTGGAATAGGTGTTGTTTTAAAGCATGGGAGGACTAGGGTGCATTGTAGAGCAAAGTCAAGTAGAGTCATTGTCTGCCTGCTGTAGGTTAAGTTTGTCACGACAACATCATTTTACACTTCGATACAGTACCCAATCCCCGTTGTTTCTTCTATGCAGCCTTGGGTTAGAAAATCTGATTGTAGATCTGTTTTCTATAGCTTCGGTACTTTCTATATTATTGAAAGGCCGTGTCATTATCACAGTATAGATACTTTTGACAACCTCACCATAAATTGGTTAGCCAGCACCTTCTCAGGTTTCTAATAGTTGCAAACTCAGCAACTTGGTGCAGAGGTTCCTAATGTTGTCCAATGATCCCAAAGCCTGTCACTTTCATCTTATTTACAGTTTATCTGCGAGGCACAGTCTGAAAAATGCAGTTTTACAGATAATGGGATTTATTCACCAAGCCCATACAGTTACTAAATCATTGCACATGCATCATTGAACTTTCTTTTTTAGTAGTTTCAATCTAGTGATTCATTTGGTACATACTTTTCACAACTTTACCTGCACACACTTCTCTTTTTACCAAGGTGTAACCACTACCGATACAGTCTGAACAAGGTAAATGACATTTTAGGACATTTTGCTGTTTTACACCATAATAACGTAATGTGTTGTAACAGTAATTCCACTACTTTTGGCGGGTACTAGTAATGTAACGAATTACGTTTTCAAATTCAATAATGCATTAACAGGTGCTGTAATTTAAATGATGGACAACTGCAAAAGACGACAGACAAAAGCAGAACATCTGAGTGTCACCTGGCCTTACAGTGGCCGAAGACAGTTTTATTATACTATTTTTCAGTAACTTGCCCAACGCTATTAGTCAATATAAACTGTTCTGCCGGAGGAACTAAACATCCCATATTAATAGATGATATCAAACTGTTTTTTATAGTATTCAGGACTCCTAATTATTACTGGGTATTGAAGTGATAGCAGGTGTAGCTGGCAGCTCCACCTACACTCAGTGCAGAGTGTGGTCAAACCCAGTGGACTGCTGTTCCATACGCGGGTGGCGGCACACTAGGTGAGCTATTCTCTTAATTGTCTAAGTGGCCTGTATTTGACCTTTGCTTAGATTCTACAGCAGCCTTTGACAGGCGCAGAAAGAGGAGAGCAAAGAGTCAGAGGCCTGGTAAGTGATGAGGTTAGACGGACAGCTTTCTGGAGTCTAGTTTGCCTTTGACAGTCTGCCAGTAATTATGAACTCCTTGTTCTAAATGGGCTCAGTTTTAGACGTTGCTGTAATTAAGGTCAAGGTCTGTTGCGAGTCTCTACTTGGGTGCTCTCGTCCTCGAGATAACAATTCCCATAAGCTCCACTGTCCTTTTTTTTTCTCTGCCTGCTTTTTCAATCAACACAATCTTCCCTTTTCTCTTCATGTGTTTCTGTCTGTGGCTCGCCTCCGTGTGTGCAGATGTTTCTGTCTTCCTGCTCTCTATTCCCTGTTGACTCACCAAAATGCATTTACACGCCTCAATTAATTAATTATTCACTGGCTCGCTTCTGCAATCCCACACCCTCCTCCTTCTGAGCTTTGTTTGCTTTTGTCATCCTCGATTTTAATTTCTAGGGATTAGACTGGAAATAAAATGTTTGTTTTACACCCCCGCCGCACACAACCCCTCCTCTTCCACGGCCACTACAACCCCAATCAACAAAAGTAGAAACAGACTGTGCACTGTAGCTCTAGTATCTGTCACAGCGTGACGTGTGGATGGTGATCGTGTGGACTTATTCTGAGCCAATCACAAGCAAACAGAACACTATGTTCCTTCGTTTCCTGTCATTACTGTACAAACCATAAGGAGTGTGCACACACACAAACACTCTTCACACACATCACTGACGCTGAGGTGCGTCAGAACTGGGGTTTAGCCAACTCACTGCCTGTTGATTTCCATTGTTTAAATGTGGAGGAATATAGAAAATATCCATGCGTATTTTGATGCAATTTTCTCTCTCCTGGTCTCTTTCACACACTAACACTTTCTCTGGCTCGTGGGTTGGTGGGATCTCTCACACCTGAGGGCACACAGCCTCTTATGAGAATGTGTGGACCAGCTATTATACACTACTGTGAGTGTGTGTAACCTGTAGTGGAAGGAAATGTAAGAACAGGCAGCCCTGTGTGACAAGTAATACACTGCCTCTCTCTAGAGGTCCAAAGGGAACGAGGAAGAGACTGATGGGACAAGGCAGCCATTTGTAGGAAAGCAAGTGTTGGTTAGAGTATCACATATACTTAGAGTTCAAGAGGGCATCCTTTTTTGTTTGTGCTGACACCCGTGGGGGCTGCCTGTTGCTTGTAAGATGTTGTTCTGCATGCAGGCACATTCTTCAAATGTGCACCTGCTTACAGTAGGTTTTGGGATTTGGGACATTTGTTGCCTTTTATATGAGCAAAGGAAATTACTGTACAGCAAGGCTGCACAATACAATGAAAAAAATCATATTACGACTATTTTGAAAGATTTCACAATTAGTCGGAATAATCATTTTTGCATTACAATTTTCATTTTCATTTTTAAAATCATGATTGGATGACATTGGTTGGGATCAGTACCAAACCACCTCAGACAGTGGGTCAGAGATAGTCTCTCCCCTGTCTACTAAAACATCTACTTACCATAATATGCATGGCTGATATCAGAGTGGCTCCTCTAAAATATGAGGCATCTTCAAGACGTACTCAATCTGTATCACTGTCATCTTGTCCTTGCGTGGTACAGAACTTAATTGAAACAGCACAGTGTCTTTAAATTTGCATAACTGTTGCTGTTTTTTATCTTTTTACTATCAAATCTTATTAAAAGACCAAAGACAGCAATAAATCAATCTTTCTGGCAACTATTATTTGTGTATCCACAGCATGATAGAGCTTTGCCTCTATGTTATAGACAAAAATGACTTAAAAAAACACTTCTTTCTCAATTTCTTCATCACAGTGAACACAGGCAGGGAAGGTTATTTCTTTGAGCACATAGAAACCACATCCCGAGCATGCTCGACCACATCTGCCTGTCACTGAGATTGTCTCCTGAGATTGACAGTGCACCTGCAGAGTTGTTTCAGAGTAAACTGCACCGATCACGTTCATTGTTATAAAGGGTATCATTTAGTGCAACAGTTTGTCTATTCGATGTGTTTTAAATAGATTTAAGACAACCTTTGGAAGTCTATGACACAGCTGCAGTGTATAATGCTGTGGCAGCACAGACAATACTAGTTAATCTTGGTCTTTCCAGGGGAATTGTTGATAATAGTAATAATAAAGCAATAAAATAATAATAATGCAATAACACTTTAAGTATTTGTGATAAATCTGGGCTAGTTTTGAAGGCCGTAACTGCTTGAAATAACAATTGGTTCATAGGCATTGATCAACAGTAACGCCTCCACAGATCTGTTTGTGTTTTTTTTTTTTTTTTTTTTTTGAGGCAGTAAAAACCACACTTCCTTTCCTGTAGAGCTGAATTTGTGTCATTTGTCATAATTTCCTGCATGTGCGCTTTATTATACCGCCTTGCATTCCACTTTGTTGTATATGTTAACTTCATGATGTATTGTTTTATTATATTGTTGCAGTCGAGTGGAAACCTTGTATGTCTAAAACTGTTTTTATCATCTAGCCAGGGAAAACAGATTCTAGTCTAACTCAGGCTCATGAGCATTGACCCTGACCAATGAACTAAAAAACATCAGTGAATTAATTTGTCTCAGGGGATGTGAGTCCATACTTACATATTCTACAAGTGCATCTCTGCATACTGTTTAACATACTGGTTGCTATCAGTGTCCTTGCAGTGTGCAGATAGTTGGGCCTTCCCTGAAGCCTCTATAGCCTCTATATCTCCCCCTCCACTGCTGTTACTGCTGCTGGTTGTAGTCCTCTGGGAGCCTGGCTCGCTCTGACTAATCTCCAGCATGACTGACAGACAGCCGAGCACCGCTCTTGCCCCAGCCTGTTAGCCTGTAGCCTCCATCCCATGGTCTGCTCTAGCACATATACTTTTGGGGATTGGATAGAGTTGGAAAACACTCAGTAAAGCCAACATGAGTTGAAATGCTCAAGCTTGGTTGCCCAGTTTTCTCAGCTTTAGACTATATGTGTGAATATGTAGGTGGATTGCTGTGCTTGTGTGCAGCTGTCACAAATAAGACCTATGGCGGTAAAGTAAAGCTTCTGTGTAGCTTTTTGTGCTTGTTTCATAACCCTTTGTCACTAAAATCATACAAGTACCAGTATAGGTGGGCCAGGTCAACCTACAATATTGAAAAAAAAAAAAGATCTTCTTTTTCATTTGAAGTGAGCTATCGTCACTATTTTCTTGTCACATGTTGTTTCTTTTTCTCCTTTGTCAGTCTGTCGTCTACAAAATGTACAACCTCAGATTACTCCCCTATTATGCAGATGACAAAGATGGCTTACTTCTGGATGCCTGGTGCATTTTTCCTGCATTCATTTTAGTCTTTTCACTAGATTCCATATCCCACCTAATCCTATTAAAGTGCAATCTCAGCTTTCAACAGTGTCATTTGTGTGGAATTTAAGCTGCCAGCTGACCAGCTGTAGTTTCACATCCTCAGCTCTGTCAAAGCCAATGTCTGGCGCAGTCTGTCACTGTACATATATACTGCCATATATTCAATACCCCCATCTGCTCTTCCTCGACACACCAACAAAAAAGGTTGGATTGCACTTGGGGAAACAACAAGTCCCGGTTCAGCAGACATCTACACCACAAACCCAGGGAGACTGGTGGCAGATTTACTGTCAGGGCTGTAAAAGTGTTTGTCACTTTGTCTTTGTGTGCAAGTTCTTTTTTAGTGGGCAAGGACTAATTAAATAAACTATTATATATATATATATATATATATATATATATATATATATATATATATATATATATATATATATATATATATATATATATATATATATATATTTCAGCCCAAATAAGGGGAAACTATAGGAGAGGAAAAGATGTCACTAGAGTCCCTTCTGTCTGTATTGCAAACAGGTAACCTTCAGCATCTGCCATTGTACCCTCACATAAAAGAAATTCATGAAAAACATGTTAAAATGAGCTAATGTGCAAATTCAGAAAGGCAAATGTTCTTACAGACTGCTGATGACCACAGAGAAGAGAACCATTGTTTATTAATACTTAGGGGATTTCTGTTACGTTAGTATGGATGACCATAGGTTTCCAGAATAAAAGATGGAATAAAATCATGTCCTTCAGAGTAAAAGCATCATTTCCACAGCAGCATTTAGACTTAATGTGTGCATTATCAATCAAGAAGGAAGTATACAGTGGACACATCAGTCCTAAAGTGTCACAGTTGTATAGTGAATGGCATTCTGTGTCATTAAAGGCCTCTAGGTTTTATTTCTTGAGTTACGTGCTTTTTGCTTATTCAAAAAGAATTTGAAAATATCTGCTTTACTCTGAAGGCCAGATGTGCTCATTCCCATTAAATAACAAGATTGTCTTTACAGCAGCAGTCAATCAGTGATGTTTGCTCTAACATGTCAGCCAAAACAATCCTGATCAGACACAGGACCACAGATCAGACTCCACTATAAAAACAAAGTGAAGGAACACCAGTAGGGAAAGAGTGATGTGACGTTGTGAAAAGTCCCACCGGTCACTCATCAGTAGCTCTGACAACATCCCGTCCTGATGGGTCTGTTCCCTCAGGCTGAAGGGGCAGGTGGGGGAGCAGGTGGAGACCTTCAAGCACCTGGGAAGCAGTCAGCCAGCACCAGTACTTTACAAAGCATGCAGATGGGGACAGACCTAGCAGCATCTATTTCTCCTCAAGTCATTCATCTCATCTGCTCTCACTCTGAACATCACACCCGGGTACAGCTCTCTTACACTCCAAAGCAGGCCAAATGCTCAAGGTTCATTAATCGAGCTGCCAAAGTAACCAGCCTCAACCAGAAGCAAATATCCAGTTGGTCTGATGGAGAACATATTTGACAATGTGTAATGATTTCTGTGATTTTAAGTTTATGCTCTTTCTCTTTCATCCTTCCCCTCTTCCTATGCCTGTCTTCTCTTCCTGGCTCCAGTCTCATAGACCGTATGCTTCAGAGGGATCCCAAGCGACGGGCTTCCCTGGAGGAGATCGAGAGCCATGCCTGGCTGCAGGGGGTCGACCCATCCCCAGCCACCAAGTACAACACTCCCCTGGTGTCCCACAAGAACCTGTCGGACGAGGAACACAACAGCATCATCCAGCGCATGGTGCTAGGAGACATTGCTGACCGCGAGGCCATAGTCGAGTGAGTTGTGCTATGTTTTGTCTTTATCTGTAATATACAAACTGGGGTATGGACCTCAAAGACGTGCTTTAATTCTTGTGCACAAGGATAGTACCCTGCCTTTCCTCGTTCATTTTCCTACAATGCAAAGTCTAGAAAAATGTAAAGTACCCAAACCTAACTGCAGATGTTTTCTTTCATCTCATGCTAGCATGTCTAATTAACGCTCCAAAATGAGGATAGATATCTGAATGAAAACGGATTCTATGCGTATCCTCAAGTCTCCCCACTGCAGACATACCCACTTTATTCTAATCACATGCTATTTTGGGCAACAAACATACAGTTTTTTGCATGTAGTATAAATGTGTTACTTTCACCTAGTGTATTTGAATATTTCTGCATACTGAGGTCTATAAACAATATTGGAATTACATGCATTTGGATTTACTAGAAAGACTTCTTGCCACCCCTGTATAAGTCAGTGCCCTACTTGTGCCAGCCCAGTCAAAAAAGTCTGGAAAGGCCCCTGGTTTCAGGTACAACCTAACCCTTTGACACAGTGGTGTTTTCAAGACATTCTGGTTGAGTCCTCCAAATTTAATCAAAGTAAGATTTATCTTTTGAAATCAGCTGCTTTGTTAGACCATTATGACCCTTTGATTTATAAAATGCAGACTTGGAAGGAATCAGCCCTAAATGGAATGCACAAAATGTGTCTAGCAAGAGCAATGGAGAAGAAAACAACTAGAATTTGACCTTTTTACTTTACAGTACAGTATACGAGCATCAGTATTTTGTATTTTCAAATCCTTTGTACAAAGTCACTGAACGGGAGATTATCTGGTAATTCAACTGTAAATACGCTCACCCTCACACATTAATCAATGAAAACTAGACCCATAGTCTGCATGCAGCCACATGCAATTACTTTGATAGCAATCACACTGTTCCATTTTTTGCCTCCATAAAAGTCCACCTGTTTCTGTTGCACTTCACTATGCTGACGTGTGAGGAGCCGTATAACGCGACACACACACAACTCCTGAAGCATGCTGGCAGCGTTAACTTGAAGAACCGTCTTCAGCCTGCAGCTATGAGAGAAAGCTGGTTGCTGCTACATGCTGAGAAAGAGAGAGAGATGCATGAGAGGATGTTGAAGGAACAAAAGAGAGAACAGCTGTTGATTTCAAAGTCATGATTTCTAGTTCACACTTGTTCCTGTCAATTTTGTTTCACAGTTCACCTTTATCTTCCTCATTGGAGCTACCTGTGGTGCGATGGAGAACCACACACATGCAGTATACACACCACTTTAAGAGTTTTTGCCTTTGTCATTCCTTTCATCCTTTCAGAGCTACAAATTCACCATGACATTTCTGCACACACACTAATGGGGAATGTTTATGCTGATAGATGAGAATACATGTGTGCATCTTCAATAGATACTGTGATCCAGTGTGTAAGCTCATGCGATAGCGATGGGGAAGAGATGAACTGTACATCTGAAGCTCACAGTTTTTATGAGCCAGGCTTCCCCACTGAGCATCAATCTGTGATGGATCTGTTGTGTCCCAGTGTGTGCGCCTGATGTTGTGTTACTACAGTTGTGCTTTACCCTACATTCTGTCTGGTACTGTAGCTCTTTCATAACGTGACGTGTCACGTAGCAGAGACCATAGCTTAGCTATCATAGACTGCGTAGTACAAAGGCTGGGAGGTTTTCATTCACTATAGTACTCCGTCAACCACAGAGGAGGAGTTGGCCTGCCAGTCACTTAACTATGCCCCCATTTGATGAAATGAAGCAGTGGCATCACGTTTAGTAATGGGACTTTCTGAGTTTAGCTGCACATATTTCCCCTTATTATGTTCTGATCACAGCCTGAGCTGCTGGAAGGGACAGGATGTAGACATAGCATTTTATATATATATATATATATATATATATATATATATATATATATATAATGAAGATTCCCGGTACTCCCAGCTTTCATTAGTCCACTCGCTTAACTCTACATTAGTTTGTGTTCGCACACATTTTTTATCTTTAAATGTATATATTATAATTTTATATAATCTATCAATCTGTGGATTGAAAAATGTATGGTTTTATTTGATAAGTTAAGCAGCTGTCTGATCACAGCCAAGGTCAAAACCAACCACATGTTCAAGTATAATGTAACTAATGTAACCCTAAAGCTAAATATTTTCTTCACATTTGATCGTTTGGCCTGCTATGCCATGTTTATAAAGACTTATTAAGGTCCATGACAGGTCTCAGATCAGTCGTATGCACTTCAAACAGTATTAGCTTCCACACTGAATTCCCCCAGTAAAACAGAGTCCTATCACACTCACCACTCAGCTTCTCTGAGTTTTTCTTTTGAACAGAAATACTATTTTCATTTAGTTATTTCCAATTGCTTCCCAATTCACTTTTCAGTTTTTAAAACTATTGTCAGTAATTGTCAGGACAGGAAGGGATTGTGCTCTTTGAGCTGCTTGACTGCTTTTATCAACACAATGGGTAAACTTGTGTTGAGCAAATAAAAGAAATTGCATTAACAGTAAATTTAAAAAAAGATGTAGATCAGAAAAAATAAGTGTATTAACTAAAATATGATAAAATAGATTTTTTAAAACAGGGAAAATTTGAAAAAAATTTGTCAAATATAAGCAAAGACCTGCTTCTCTCTGCAGTTGAGGTAAATAAAGACCATTAGTTGACGTTTTACGGTATTTCTTCCCTTTCCATTAAAAAAATTTGAAATGGTTCAATTTGACAAAAAGTGAAATATTTGACAGTCTGGAACATTTGAGAAAACTAGTTTCTTAGCAGCACAACTACAAAAGGATCTGCAGTTGTAATCTAAGGCACTGTGGTTATTCACGTAACAGCATGGAAGTACCAGTGCCTTGGGCTACAAGCAAACAAGCACATCAGAGCTCAAAGTGTGACACATACGCAGTGCGTAAATGCTCTCATGCCTCGTGTGTATACAGCTGTTGGCAGCAGTCTTCAGCATTTAATTAGTTTCATTAATATGCAGAGATTCTCTGCTCTAATCCTACTGGATGCTCAGGGAGTCTGAGAAATGTTCTTCTCTTTATACTCCACAGGTTGTATGGGGTCACAGAGGTCAGCAGGTCACGCTTCTCAATGAAAAGTGTTATGGATAGTTTAAAATGGAATAGGTCATATAATTAGGGAATATAGCCTGAGCCTGTCAGAAGTGTTAGACTGTGAAATGACTTTGTGTATCTACAGGTCAGTTCAGTACCATTGTTTGTTTCTTTCAGGAAGAAACATGATCACTTTGGCAGATGTATAAATGTAAATGTGATGTTAATTCAATAATTATGAACAAGTACTGTAATTGACAAGCAGTATACCCACACATTATAGTCTCTGTGTGGCGTTGTACAGCAGCACCACTTGTCTTCATATAAATAAAGCATATAAAGCTTGCTATCTTATCGGTATCTCTTACCAAGAGTCCGGCGGGGGTCCTCTGACTTTTTGTGGTTGAAGAGTGAGGAGGGAGAGTCTGCAAAGTTGGTAACTTTGTCATCTATGGTGGCAAATCATAAAATACTTGTGTGTGATTATTCAATCAGCACCTGACTTTACTGACTACTATAGGTTAAGCTGAGTGAATTTTGCTGTGCTTTATAGGCTCTAAAGTTTCCTTCATTAAAGTTGGAATATTTAATTTTCTCCCACTCTAATACGAAAGTTTGACAGCCCTTGTTTGCAGTTAGTACCATCACCACTTTGTCATGTGTGATAGAGTCTGCTGGAATGGAGGTGCAGCTTCGCTTATCTAAATATTGTGGTTAGAAAGTAGACAGCTAAAACCACGTCCCGTGTCTGGCATCAAGACCTGTTGGACAAGCCTGACTCTTGACTTGGTAACAACAGTGTTGTGTTATTCTCTTTGGTGGAACCTCAACCACAGCACATGTCTACCACTTTAGCTTCCAGGGCGTGCTTGCCAGAGCTGCTGGAACATGTTCTCCTGTGTGTTGTGGTGTTTGGATTGTTGCAGGGTTTCCACTCTCTTCCTCCATTCCTGAGTCCCAGTGTTATTCTGTGGTAATGTCTTGTGTTGATGTTACTGAAATAATTCACTTACATTTTTTCACATTTGTTTTGTGTTAAAGATGTATTTGATTTGATGTAGAGCTGCAACAATTAATTAATAGATTAGTTGATAAACAGAAAGTTGATGATAATCATTTTTGAAGCCAAAATGCCAATCTTTGTTGGTTCCAGCCAGTGCTCAAAATGAAGGATGTCCTTTTGTCTTAGGGATACAAAGATACAGTTTTTGGGACAGTAGAATAATAATAATTAGAAATCAAATTGTTATGTTTATGCCTCATGAAATATATATCTTATTTTATTCATTAGCTAACTTAAATTTAAAAAACCAGTGCACACAAGTGTTGCCAACTTGGAGACTTTTCACTAGATAACTTAGCTACTTATTAAGACCACCAGGGAAAAGGGGAGAAGTATATTCAAATATGTTATATTGTAATTCATTCCCTAGCCTGCTCTTCAGAGTAATCACAGTCCACAGCTCTTCTGCCAGTAGCGCTGGGGTCTCTCCCTCTCCTCTTGGGCAGTTGTGTCATTTTTGACTATTTTCTTCACTATTATCTTATAGACAAAACAGTTAATCACTTAATTGGGAAAATAACTTGCAATCGATATCGATAAAGAAATTATTTGTAAGTTGCAGTTCTAGACAGATGTAGAAATCTTCTAATTCAACTACATTTGTCTTGTATCATGGTGTTGTAGGGTTCCCATGCGTCCTGGAATACATGGAAAACTGTTCATTCAGAGGCTAGTTTTCCAGGCATGGAAACACCTAGAAATTGATTAAAATGTTCTCCTCACGCTTTTCATCTCCATGTCTTGCTATATATACAATATGTTTTGCATTTGTACATGTCCCTAACGTTACTGTTCTTGTTCTTGTTCTTGTTGTTGTTTCAGAGCCCTGGAGACCAACAAATACAACCACATCACAGCCACATACTACCTGCTGGCAGAGAGGATCCTGAGGGAGAAGCAGGAGAAGGAGGTCCAGACCCGCTCCTCCAGCCCCAGCAACATCAAGGCACAGTTCAGGTAAAGAATGGACCAATCCTGTCAGAGCAGTCAGAGCACTAACAAGAGGCAGTGACACAGCAAGCATGAAAACATTAGCCTTTCAGCGTCTGTTTAATCTAAAAGAGACGACCTTTCCCATGCTGTGGCCTGTGCACAATCCTTTATTTATTTTTTTATTGTAACGAACTAGTGAAGAGCGTGAGGAAGAAATATCACTGCTCATCACCATAATGACTATCTGAGTCACAGTATGAGTGGAGAAGAGGGTAATTGACCTATCTCGCTCCACCACCTCACACTGCAGCCTGTCTGGCTCCGCTCTGCAGAGCCCAGCCGCAGTTACTTAAGACCGGGTTACATCTCCAAAGGTTTCATTTCCATTTCTGGGTTCACTGGGCCTCCACCTGCTGGGCTCTGGGGAGATGGAGCAGAGGAAACAGTTTGAACTATGAACAGAGTCTTTGCAGTGTTTTTAAATCTGGCCGTTAATCTCTTCGATTTTCCATCATTATTCTAACTCACTGTAATGTTTTACATTCTTCCCGTTTACTGGTGACGCAAGCACTGAAAGTTTGCCTCCAGTCTGTCATCATGATAGTAAAAACTGAGAAAATATATCTGTGTTAATCCCTTTAGCTGCCTTAAGTATTTCCTCTTTGCTTCCTTGCCAACATTGTTCCTTTTAAAAGGAAGAGGAGAGCTGGATGGTGCACAGTTATAAAAGGAAGAGCAACAGAGGAGAGGAACAAATAAGGAAGAGAGTATTGAGGAGGCTTCAGCAGGGACAGCTGTGGCTGTGAAACACTGGCACGGCTCCCTCCACATTCCTCTCTCTGCTCTACAGTGGGGGCTTTAAGTCGAAGACATCCTTTAATAAGCCCATTTAAAGCATAAAGGCAGCCATTATTTTTTTACATCCAAGGTTTGTTTTTACAGCCTCTCCATCCAATGGAAGGGCTTGAGGGTTAAGTTGGGTTATAGAGATATTAAAGAGTACTCACTGATGACAACATAAGTGCTCCTCATCTGAGATACTAGACAATGCTTAAGAGGAAACAGGAGTCATTACATTTTCCACAGACGGTGCGTACATAGCAACAGTGACCTGCACAAACACTGGAAGTCAGCTGTCTGTAGGCCTCTATGGTGGCTGCCTGCATCGGTCTGTGTCATCAGACTGTTCCTGATGTCTGAAGAATTGAGGGGTGTGATTATGGCCGCCTCCTCCTCTGTCCTCATGCTTTACAAAGTGCTTGATTTGATGGTTCCCTCAGTGGTGGAGCAGTAGCCTGGCCGCCGGGTGTTACTGAGCTCTGGCGAAATCAATGTTTAGCCTCCTGTGCTGTGATCCCTGTCCACAAGATAGTGACTAATGTGTTTAAGGGAGACCTCTGCTGATTGGCTCCGACTGACCCACAAACCAGGGGCTGTTCCACTGCCAGGCGCACGCACGCACGCACGCACAATAATCAGTTATTTGAGCGATCTTAAACACAAGTTGTGTCTCTCACTGTGGGCAAGCCCCTGTCAGATTGTAATAGATATAGATTACAATTTTGTGTGTGTGTGTGCGTGCGTGCGTGCGTGCGTGTGTGTGGTGTGGGTGTGGTGTGTGTGTGTGGGTGGTGTGTGGGGGGGGTGTGTGGGGGGGGGGCGCGCGCGTGCGTGCGTGCGTAGATACGCACACTTGAATAAGCATACACACACAGAGATGAATTGACTTGACATTTATTTTACTGTTTGCACACACAAGATAATTATCTCTTTTCCTCTCTATTTTGGCATTCAGTCCACACAAAACTTTAATTTATTTCATTTTTAATTCTTGTTTTCAATTCAGTTTAGTTTCAAATAGTTTCCAGAGTGTTTCAAAATGTTTACAGGGATCCCACATGACCTGGAAACAGCACATCAAAATGAACAATATCCTGAAAATAATCTATGTTGTCCTGAGCCCCTCATCGCCCCCCCCCAACCACACATAAAGCTGGGTTTGAAGAAAACTAGTCAAAACGGAGATGCTACAGAAAAACTGTCTGTGAGAACAGCTAATGCAGTGTCCGATATATACTATATATATTTTTTTTTATTTTTATTTTTTTTTTTTTTTTTTTTATTTTTTTTTATATATATATATATTTTTATTTTTATTTTTATTTTTATTATTTTTATATTTATTTTTTTTTTATTTTTTTTTTATTTTTATATATTTTTTTTTTTTATATATATATATATATTTTTTTTTTTTTTTTTTTTTTTTTTATATATTTTTTATATATATATATATATATATATATATATATATATATATATACCATATATATATATATAACCATAAACCTGTAATGAACCTGAGACACTTCATCATAAACCCTGCATCATTAAAAAAGGAAGAATAAAACTGGGAAAAATGTGTCAATACGAGGCCTATCGGTAGATTTGTGAGCAAGTGCTAGTTTTAGTTTAGTTTTTATTACTTTCATTAGTTTATTTTCTTATAACCACCAAGGCCTCCTCATGCTTGTTGTGTTGACAGATTTTACCAAATTGACAAGGGCCAAAACTAAAGACATTTCCTATATCTTTTTATCGTATTTTAGTTTGTTTTAGTACACACAAGTACATAATGTAATTTCAGTTTGTTTTGGTTTTCGTCTAGCTTTTACTTGAGTCAAATAAAATAATTTTTCACACCTAGATTTAGTTTTTAGTTTAGTTTTAGTGAATTATAATAACCTTGCTACAGGGTTTAACATGTACTCTGTCACTGTAGACAAGCGCACACTGCGCAGGTGTTATCATTCATCTCCACTCATGTTTAAGTTGCCAAATGGCTTTGTAGCATAGAAGATGTGACTGAATGGGCGTTTTAGCCTGCCACAACTTTTTTATTTAATGATGGAAAGATAGATTTAATAGATAAAATTAGTATTAATTAGTTTAGTTTAGGCATTTCAGTACAAACTAAAAGCTTTGTAAAAGACCCAACGTAAGTGTAAATGCAACAGTCTCTTCTTCTTCTGTCTTAATGTGGATGTAGTCTTAGATGTGTGCCTGTGTTCGTAAGACGTGCTCTCCATGCTGATGTGAGCTTGAGCCAGTGACAGTGCATTCATGGTCATGCTAACAGCGATGCCCTTCGTGTGATTGATTGTTTACTGACTGTGCGCTGTCAGGGGATCGCTCAGTCTCACTGTTTGTTTCCTGTCAACACGAACCTTCCAGGAAAGAGCGGAACTGTTTGTTTTCAGTATATACGTTAGTTAATTCAACAGTAACATTGATCTAATACACATTACTTACACTTATAGACTTCATACAAATACTTATTTATCAGTCCTATAGTTCTCAAGTCTCTAAATGTCTCCACAGTCTAATACATATTCAATGTGATGCTGTTATGATGCATTCTATCAATGTCTTACTGTGCTGAACATACACAAGTTTTATTTTACAACAATGCCAAATTCAAATGTATGTTTTAACACAAAAATAAAGCATAATACTTTTATATATTCAACATATGTTTACGTTAAATAGCTCAATAAATCTGTCGGCCAATATATTGTATTGGTAGCTCTATGCAGATACAGTGTATCAGTCAGTGTATAGCAACAAGAAATTGCAGAAATGCCAAAGATATGTTTATTTAGAAACCGTGTCTCCATTATAGGGCTGCAACTAACGACTGTTTTCATTATCAATTAATCCGTTCATCATTTTCTCCAATAATTGATTGGATGTTTGGTTCTTAAAATGTCGGAAAATGGTGAAAAAATGTTGATCAGTGTTTCTCAAAGCCCATGTCTTGTTTCGTCCAAAGTTATTCATGGATGACTAAAAATACCAGAAAATGTTCACATTTGAGAAGCTGAAATTAGATCATTTGGATATGTGTTCTTAAAAAATGACTCGAGCAAACAACCTGCAGTATAAAACCCACATATCTTTCATTCTCATTACAACAGGATTAAGCGAGAAAAAGTAAATGAGAAATGTACTTTTAAGTGAGGCTTTCAGTGTCATCAGAGTAAAATCTGCCAGTATCCGTACTGTTCCTTTAAAAGGAAATTTGTCCTGTAAATAGTTGTCTTACTCTTGTGATCAAAAGCTTTGCTCTGAAGCTCTGTTCTGAGGCAGTTCTGTAAATAGTTTTCAAATATATATAGCAACTTCTGATCAGTCTATATCAGATAATGGTGTACTCACTCGTCAATACAGTACAGCCACTTTCTCCCAGGGACCTGTTGCTGGTCTGAAGCTGTCCCAGATAAACCTTCAGTGCAGAGATGAACAGGAGGCCTAACGTACCCCAGCACTGACCCTGCTCTCCCCCCATTAGACAGCCAGCACAGACCCAGCAGTTATTCAACATTAATTGAAATCCAACAAATACACTGTAGGTGTAAATGCGATGGTAACCATGGTAACTGTCTCAAGCGTCCTGTGACCTGTGTGAAAGGTGGTTCAAACAGTGTGTGAGTCACAGAGTGGGATATACTGTATATATAGTTGTGTAATGAGCGACGACACACTTTGTGAAATATAGTCTGAGTGTTGTTTAGAGAAATATTCTATCTGTCAGCTGCTGGCTGTCAGCACATAGGACGACACTGTCTCCTGCATCAGCTCAACTGTAATGATATTCAGCTTTACAGTGGCTGACATTCACAGCTCCCTCCCTCCCTCGTGGCGCTGACTAATCGGCTTTACAAACTCCTTTCCTCCTTTCTTCCAGGTCTAGGCCGACTGTGTTTAATTGGTGCATCATTCACTGTCAGTGAATGGAGGGGCTGTGACAATGAAAACCGATACAGAGTGTGGCCTTTGTGCAGCGCTGCTATAAGACAATGACAAACACTGAATAAAGCGCAGCATGGACATAAATGACCCATACACAGAATCAGTGCTGTTGGGCTGATTAGGCCAGGAGGCCTGATTTCCATTAAACAAAGTAGAGTGCAGTGATGACACATTTTTTTTCAAAGAGGATGTAGATGTATTCATCCCACTTGGGTCAGAAAGACTGTAGTATCACATTTCCATATTTCAGTGGAACAACTTATATACAGCATCTTTGAAGTCGTGTGTAATCTCCCTCTCCTCTCGGCTCCCTTGCAAATTGTCTATATTTGTCTGCATAATCTACCATATATAATTCTAATATTGACTAGCTGATAACTTTACAGGGTAACATGAAAAGTGAAGAAAATTACAATAACTCTGTTTAGTTTCCTGCCAAAGCAAATAAAGGACTTTTAGTGGATTTGAAGTTGAATCCGCTCTGTTTGTCTCTGCAGGCAGTCCTGGCCCACCAGAGTTGACATGCACCAGGACATAGAAGACAGCCTGGCAGCGTCCTCCATCTCCCATGCTGGGGGCCCCCAGTCCCCAGCCCGCAGCGCAGAGAACCTGCTCAACGGACATCGCTCCAAAGGCCTGATGGACCTGGGCAGACGAGAGGAAACGGTGACGGACTCTGCAGGACTGTCAGCGCAGGTACGCTCATCTTCAGCACACACTGTTGGCTTTCCCTAGAAGTGCATTCGTGTGTGATTTGGAGTTTCTGCTGTTGAATGGACACCACTGCAGTGGGTAACTTTTATAAAAATAACTGTCATATTGTCTCAAACTTTCACTATATCCTGACAGTCGTACATGAGACAGATAATCTGTGAAAAAACAGTCTCCTCTGGTTCCTAGTGCACCGGGCTTGAATGAAAACAACCAATCAGAGCTGAGAAAGATTGTTGATTGTTGAGTCTCATTCTCAGCCTCACTCATAGGAGGAGCCAGAGGAATCTGTCTCATGTTCTACTGTCAGGATCAGGATATAGTGAAAGTTTCAGCAAATATGGCAAAAAGTTATTTTTATAAAAGTTATCTACTGCAGCTTTAACAGCCTTTTCTCATTTATTCTAATGCATGTGGCTGGTCTTTTTTTCTCCCCCCTTCTCATTCCAGGGTGCCTGTGCTGCTGCCTCAGGGGCCACTTCTGGGTCTGGTTCTGGGACCATCAGGGCCCCTGCACCATCCACCTCAGCAGCAGCCAAGCAGCGAACCTGCCTGTTCAGGTCTGACAAATTTGTATTCAGTTTTCAGAAGTTGACTGTTATTTAAAAAAAAATATTCACATCCATCATCACTGAATGGAAACGGAAGTAAATGACAGGCTAGGTATCAAAAATAAATTACCTATTTTAATAATAATCAGTAATTTGCAAACTGATTATTATGGATAAATGCCAAAAAGTTCCAGCTTCATAAATGTAAAAATGAAACTTTGCTCAGTTTGATATCAATGTTAAGGGAATACCTTTGTGGTTCTGAACTGTTACTCAGACAGAAGACATTTGAGACATCCCATTGGGGCCATAGAAACTATGATTGTTACTTCAGTTTTTTGTCATTTTATAAACCAATCAATCAATCGCTTAATCAAGAAATAATAGGAAGATGAATTGATACTGTTACAATGGTTAGTTGCTGCCCTGCTCAAATACTCCCGCATGGTGTTGCTTTGTGTTCCTGATCAGGTAAATAAAGTCAAATTAATCATGTCTCATGTCCCTTCAGGGTGGAGGAGGATGAGGAGGAGGAGGAAGAGCAGGATCCGTCTCCCCTCCCGACCCAGGTGGTCCTGCGCCGTAAGCCGCCCTCCATCACCAACCGCCTCACCTCGAGGAAGAGCGCCCCGGTGCTCAACCAGATCTTCGAGGAGGAGGGGGAGTCGGACGACGACTTCGACATGGACGAGGGCCTGCCGCCCAAACTCAGCCGCCTCAAGATGAACATGGCCGGAAACGCCGCCAACCTGAGCTCCGGGGCCGGCTCCTCCTCGTCCCCGGGGTCCACGCAGAAGCGCTACCACCGGCGCAAGAGCCAGGGGAGGGGGTCGTCGTGTTCGAGCTCGGAGACGAGCGACGACGACTCAGAGAGCCACCGGAGGCGCCTGGATAAAGACTCGGGCTTCGGTTACGGCTGGAACAGAAGGGACAGCAGCGAGGGGCCGCCTGGCAGCTCGGGGGGCAACGGGGGAGGCAGCAGCTCAGGGCAGAGTAAACCCCCCGGAGAGGGAGGGGGGACCTCTGGTCCAGACAGGGGGAGTCCTCCTGGAGGGGGCGGGAACGGAGGAGGAGGGGGTGGCGGTGGTGGAGGGGGGAGCGGGGGAGGAGGAGGGGGTAACAAAGGACAAGACAGCCCCTCCAGTTGTTGTAACAACAGTAGCACTACTAACCCCTCCCTCAGCTCTCTGCCCCGCTCGTCCCGCACAGCCAGCCGCAGCACCGAGCTGGTGGAGAGCCTGAAGCTGATGAGTCTGTGCCTCAGCTCCCAGCTGCAGCACCACCGCGGGGGGCGGGGCAGTCGAGGCGGCGGAGGTGGAGGTGGTGGAGGAGGAGGGGGCAAGTTCATCATAGACTCTCGCAGCCTCACAGGAGGGAGCGTGAAAATCCAGGAGAAATCAGCCTGGAGGATGTGCATCGGCTCCACCGGGAGCCTGGACACCATCACCCTCCCCACCACCGCCCTGCCTCGCACCCACGCCGCGCAGCACCACCACCGCAAAACGGCGCCGCACGGCCCCCCCGGCCTGCAGGCAGGGCCGGGCAGCAGGGACGCTCACAGCGACCTGAGCGCGTTGAAAAACGGCGTGCTTCAACTACCTCTGTGTGAGAAGACCATCTCTGTCAACATCCAGCGGGGCGGGGGCTCCAGGGATGGCCTGCTCTGTACCTCAGCTCCGGCCAGCTGCTGCCAGGTCATCTGAAAGCCCCGCCAGCCCTCACCCACCACAACCAGCTGAAAACCAAGCTCCTCCCCCTACGTTCACCTTGTCTCTCGGCACATCATCATCCCGTTCACTTCCGTTTGAACACACTACTCCTCTCTGTAGCTTTGTCTTGTGTTTAGCAGCTAGCTGACCTCACATCAGCCAGCGTCTTAGCTCTCAGCGCAGCGTCACTGTCACTTTGTTCGATTAGTTCCGTGCTCTGCTTACTCTTCGTATGTCTGAGGTGCATGTTGTTTGTGATTGTTTTTAACATTTCTTATTAATTCTTTCATTTCATAATTGTCGTATGTCCCCGACTGCCCTTTAAATGAGTGCTCTAATATTGTTTTTCCATCTTAATAACAGAATGCTGGGTTTGATTTAATAACTGGGTATGGAATGGAAAACATTTCTTTTTAGCTACACTGGAGTACTGCGCAGGAAGTAAAGCCCACCAAACAACATTTTGAGAAAAATGTTTTAATGTTCTGAGCATGAAGTCAAACATGAGTAAGCTGTATTGGTTATCATAATTGAATGAGATAAAAGTCTTAGTAATGTAAGAATAAATCAGTAATCCAATGTTTTTAATAATTGAAGAATATATTTGAAATGTTATATTTTTTGTCTTTATTTGACCAGACAGGAAGGTGAGCAACCACCGCACCCAGAAAAGTTTTTTAACATTTTGAAATTATAATTTTGTGAGGGCAAAAGTATTAATATTTTAAGACTAAAGTCTTAATAACACAAGATTACAGAGGAGAAATATATATTTTATGCTAATATTGTCACTGGCTCATAAAGTTGTGACTTTATTCCACTGATGACTAAAATTATAACTTAATTGTTGTTTTTGCTAGTAAAAATACCTTTTTTTAAACCTAACTTTCTTCATGTAATATTTAACTCTCAAAACACTGAATTTTTTTCTCAAAATATTGCTTTTTTATAGTAGAAATGTGTCTTTGTTTCCTGCAGCAGCCTGATGCTGCGCTGTGGTTGCAGTGAGAGCAGCTGTAGAGAACTGTTGGAGTGGTTCCAGCACTGTACTGTAGCAGGCAGCTGACAGGAGGAGGAAACAGTAGCTCTCTATGTTAATACAAATACACTCCTGCAAACAACATCCTCCCCTCCTCCCTTCACCCCCCCCCGTCAGCTAACAGCTGGATTAAAGTGGATTATGAATCCATGCAGGTATCTTTGACCACTTCTGTCAAGGTTTTCATTTTGACTCCAGTCTGGACTCCGTATTGCACTCAGACAATCTGTTTTATGTTGTTTTTAGTGTTGTTTTTTGAACAATAAATTGTGCTAGAGTAAATTCAGCTCCATGCACTCACAACATATTCTCTGTCAGGACCCCTTTAAATGTGTGTTCATAGAGACGCACAGTTTTAACTTAATGAACGGGACGGCAAGAGAAGACCTGGTGGTTCTGTTGAAGTGTGTGCACTCCTCTGTGGCCGCGAACAGGTGATAATATTGATACTGTAGCAAGATGATGCTGATCACCAACAAGTTTGGAAATATTACTGCTGACCATATATTTAAAATGAGGTTATTTTTTTAATCCACATGTCAGTGCGTGGCTGTCGTTGCTGGTAGAGAACATTAGTTGTGTCTGGCTCTCTGTGGAACCACAAACACACTAACAATACCCCGAGTAGTCTGTTCTGTTTTGACCTCTGCTGGCTTCCTGTGGTCCCACCTGCACCCACGTTTCACCCAAAGCTTACCGCACACATGGGTGCAGCGCGTGGACCTGTGTATCGAGTATGTATATACAGTATGTTGAAAAAGTAAAGTTTATTTTTAAAACTTGTACATTTTTTTGAGCGACCTGCTGTTTAAAAGGGGGCCTGTGTGAAATGTGGTTGGTTGTGTTCACCCGGTAAATCGGGAGGACCTCGCCTGTCTGGGGAGAGAGAGCTTGTGACTCGCAGCTTCAAAGGAGCTGGCCAAGAGATGAACAAATGAGACGGGAAAGGGGAAATGGGGAAATTCTTTAAGGGCATTGGCAATAAGCTATACTGTGTGTTGCAGCTATCTGTACAGAAACATTTTCATTTGTTTCATTTTTGAAATTCCAAACTTGTGCAGCCAACCCCGTGTCTAGACCGCAAGCGTCACCCAAGCTCTGTTTTCACTAATGCATATGAAAAAAATGATAAAAGTTTATTCAAATGATAATTTAATAATTCAATTAAATTCTATTAAAGCCATTACATTTGAAACAAAGAACAGCCTAGGTTGCAAAGTGAAGATAAATATATCCAGTGCCTTTTTATTGGGCATCAACCTCACGTTTATGTGCTTATTTAAAAAAAAAAAAAAAAAAAAGACTTGAAGCATAAATAAACAGACAGACAGACAGCTACATAGATTAAGATAAGAGTAAGGAAACTCATCGGCTACGCTTACGGCCCATACACGGGGTTACGATGGCCACATTGGACTGAAAAGAAAAAAAGGAAAGCTGATGTTTTAAATTTTTTATTTTTTTTTTGCTCTCTTTGGTTGTTGTCTGAGTTTTCTTTTAAAAACCAAATGTAAATAGAGTTGTAAATATGGTGCTCTTTATCTAGAACAGCCGAGTGAAACCCTTTGGTGCATAGCTGTACAGTAATCTAGCCTTATGATAATAGTAATACTGTATGGGTGTCTCAGCTAAAAATAAAGCCGTGTGAGAAAAACGACACGATGCTATTCATACTGTCAGGTCTCTTTGACTGTCGTCTTACTCAGCTGTATCCAGGTGAATGACGTGCATGTGTTTCAATGTTTGACATTCAATGACACAGAGGAGAGAGAATCAGCCACAGAAATGTTACTGGACCAAAAAAAACAACAGAAGAGAAAAAAAGAAAAAAAAAAGAAAAAAAGATGAGTTGGAACTGACAGAAATATTCAGTGTATTATTCTGTAGTTGATACCTGTTGTCAGAAGTTACATATAGCTATGGTAATATCCAAAAATAAAATGTGGAATACTGTCTCATACGTGTGGTCTTCTGGGTCTTTCTTGTTGGATTTCTCTCAAACTGGGTGAGACGGATGAGCCTCGAGTGCTGGACTTATTCTACATGATTAAAGTGAAGTAAGATCTTAGACTTGTATTTTCCCATGTTTAGCCATGTTAGCAGTGTAGATCTATAGATGGCGATTTACCAGTCCAACGCTTCGGGCCAGCCTTAAAGCTGCAGTAGGTCATTTATATAAAAATGCTAACTGTGTGCTGTTTGGAGCTAGGCAGGCAGTGTGCAGTGGATTTATCAGAGCTTTTTCAGCTGGAACCGATGCTGTGAAAGTGGTGAGTGTGAACAAAAACAGTAAAGTTGTGGGCCAGAAAACCAAAACAATGAGCTGAAGGACGCTAAAATGCTACATAGAGCTAAGGGGAGCTGCAGAGTTGGGCACAAAATATGAATTACTGCAGCTTTAAAGCTCTGAATTCAGCTGTGAGCAGTGTGTTTAAGATAGTGTATCAATGTGAGACAGAGACTTGAAGCTATGATCCAGGTCATCAAAGGTGTTGAAAAGCAGTCAGTGGTGATTAACATGCTACATGACACTCAAGAGCTTTTACTCCGTGCTCGCCACCCAAGTAACCCAGACGCTTCCACAGCAGATGGCACACCCGGTTTATTCAGAACTGATCTTTCTATGAACTCGCCTCTTTATTTACACCCACACCCACACCCACACCCACACACACACAGGTTAGACTGACAGTCCACTTCAGAGAGACTTTAAGGTTTCCATCTACTTTATTCTCCACAACAGTTTCAATACATTAGGTAAATACCAGCAGATTGTGTGTGTATAAAAACAAATAGATATTCATTGCATTTCAAGGCACCAGGGGTGTTATGAGTTTAACTTCAAGTCAAGTAACATACTTTAAGTTTTACTTACTGATACTAGTTATACGGCAATAACCCTGGTCATGTCACATGCTAAGATTAGACAGCCCAACAAAATCAACAGTTGTCATGATCTCTTTTCTATGGAAGTTTAAAAAAGCAACATTATTTCATCTCTACTGAATACTTACTGTTGAAATTAAAACACCACTGAAATCACTGCATGAAATAGTTTATTATCTATCTGAGTTCGTCTGGTTGAAGTTGCCAGAAGAGAATTTAAAGTTTTGCTCCTCACAAGTTTAAATCGAGTGTCCAGGTTTCCATTTTCACTGCTTTTTCTTGGCAGCCTGAAAATTGAATCTTTTGGTTTGAGTTCAATCTTCAGATCTGAAAATGAAGAGTTTGATCAACTCGACAGCTTTTTATTTTTATATTGGAACACTGAAGTTGTAAATCTTAAACAAGCTGTTTCAAGTTCCACCACTTCAAATAACCCCCAAAAACTTTCAAATGCAGATAGATGGTAGAAGCAAAATATTCCAGTGCTGTGAATTCAGTGGTATTTAGTAGTGACTAAAAAACATTAGGTGATGTGAGATTTAAATCTTTATGGCCATTATTTGCTTCCATAGTGTAGAACTGAGAATACAGGATGTCGTCCAATAACAAGCAGCTTTAATACTAAGAGAGCAGCATCAGTTGAACTGTTATTTAAGCCAGTGAATGATTATATGGAGGCTTTGGTGAAGCTTTTCTTACTGTGTGCACCATCACCCTGCATGGTTAGAACTCATTAGTAATAATAACTGAAGGTGGACAAACTTTAAACATTACATAATCCCAAACCGTAGTACTGATTAACCCCAACCCAAAGTGACTTCAGTGGCTGAGAACAGAACACATATAAAACGGAACTTTCATTAACAGTCAGGATATAACGTCAATATTTGCTACAGGGGAGTATGTTATAATACAGCATTCTTCTGTGATTTGACACCTGGCTTTTACTAAATGTATCCCACTATTAATCCCACACACCACCCCTAGATAAAATCTCATTACAGTATATCTCATTTAAAGACCAACATTACACATCTGGTACACAGCTAGGTGTCTAAAACAGTGGTCTACTATTCAGCTCTTGGGAGAGTAAACCAGCGTTTGCCCGCTTTCCACCGTTAACTGATGCAGTGAAGATATTGCAGATAAACAGCACACACACAAACTCCAAAAATATTATCTTAATACATACATGTGAATGTGCGTAAACAATAAATCTGTTAAAGCTGCGTGAAGCGGTGGCCCGTCAGTATCTGCAGGCCCTCCTCTCCTCCTCACTGGACCCCCTTACTGAGCTCCGAGGCTTCGAGCATTTTCTGAAACACACAGAAAAACAACAAATTCACGTGGATCTGAAAGGTGTGTGTGTGTGTGTGAGATTTATTTAAAAGGAGGTGAGAGGAGTTGGCATTCCTTCCGCTTTGTTAGCTGGAATAAGAAGCAGAAACCCACCAACCTTCTGGCTGAATGTGATAATGTACAAGGACCCAGGGGGAGATTGTGTGTGTCCTTGTTCTATTCACAGAACAACGGCTCCACTCTTTTTGTCTTATTGGTCACTTTAAAGGATTATTCCAGTTCAGTAGAATTTGTAGTTTTGCGGCATCATTTGTGTCATTAATAATAATAATACTAATACACTGCATCAAGTTAATAACTGAGATCATCGTTAGAAAGCAGTCAGACATCCACAGACCGCCGTCCTGGCTCTGCTCTTTACTTCCTGACTTCAATGAATTTCATGAGAACAATGTAACTATGCTCTCAGTGTGCTTCAAAGGCTCAGCCTGCCTTCCCCCCGGGCACAGCCTGAGATAAATAACATTTGATGAACATGAATGCATTTGAAATAAAATTTACAAAATTCACAAACAGCTAAATGCAGACTCAAGGAGAGGTTGGGGAGGTTGGGGAGGTTGGGGAGGTGGGGGAGGTGGAGGGAGCTATGTTTCTGAAAGCAGGCAGCAGCGTGGATATACCTGATGGGAGGGCGTATGGAACATGCAGGGTCCAAAATGAACACCCGCCAAGAGCAAAATTGTGGTTTTTGCGTGTTAAGCCACCAAAAAGAAAACATGAAGACGAAGAGAAAAGTCACTGAGGTGGCATCTGAACAACACAGGAGCCCCGAGATCCTGGCTGAAATATGGCCCTCAGAACTTGTGGGAATTATTCTTAGTCAAATATTGTATGAGGCAGTTTTATGGCTGGTAAAAAATACTGTTAACTGGAAGATTTTCCCCATTTCAGCCACAAAGTAAATTTTGGACCCTGTTAACATGCAACTATAAAATGACAGCCTGATCTACCGTCGGCTCCATGAATGTGAGGACCAGAACCATGCATATAGTTCTGGTTTGTTAAAATTTTGATTTCTTCTTACAACAGGGGTGGAATGTGTTTGTAGTGCTTAAAAAGGTTATATGTATGATATTTGAAACATTAATATTGCAGGAAACAACTTATCTACATAAAAATATAGCTGAGTCATGGTGTCCTGAGCAGAGAATGGTGTCACTCTCACTCTGCCTGTGTTGCTATCAGCCTCTCTGTGGTTTGTTTCCATAGCCGGTCTGCTCCGTGAGCCGCTGAGTAGAGCCACTGAAACTATCATCTATGTGAATTAAGGATTTATTTTGACCAAAGCAGACTTAGTGATTATGGAACAGTAGAAAGACTAACAAAGACTGTTTTTGGTGAGTTTTGGTTTGTTTCTGTCCACTTTGAATGAAGTTATGATGTTACAATGATATGAGAGTTGAAATGACCGTTTTTGTTCAGTGGTGAGCGATACGGCAGTTTCTGGTTAAACAAAAGATCTATCTCTGTAGAGATCCTTTCCATGTCAGGCACAATAACAATCTGAGCCTGTCAGTGGCAAACGCAAGGACTTTTAGTGGACGTACTCTGATGGGCGTATTTGTGCCTTTGCGGGCCTTTTCATGAACATATTGGCAGTTAATTTGGTGAATTAAGGATTTATTTTGACCAAACCAATGATAGCACAAGCATCTCAGACCAAAACAATGGTACAGAAAGAAAATAAAACTCACCAATATAACCATAACTATAACCTTTAAAGCAGTGAAAAAGAATGAAAATCTTAAAAACAGTGATCAACTTTTTCCAGAAACAACGCCCTGATTCCTCTGCTGCATTCACTGGATCAGTTTCCAACTTAGACAGTCAATTGGAGAACAGCCACTGAGACATTGGTCCTGGGGTACATGGGGGACATGTATATGAATTGACTAGTATCGACAGGTGGAAAAATCCATAATATGCATTATAAATAATGAGTTTTCTGTGCAGTGTCCTCAGGGGTACACAGTGCACAGCCTTTGAGAAATGAACAGAACTAATGTAAACTCCACAGATGTAAACACCTCTTCACCAGCCGGTGTGACCTGTTTCATAAGTCACCCAGAGGCAGAGTGTCTCTTTCTGTTTCCCAAAATGACATTAAGTTCTGAGCTGTGAGGGGAGCAGAGGTTTTAAAATAGCATTACATGTGAGCTGGACAGCAGCTCGGCAGCAGGCTGCGGGGTCTGGACAGTCTCCGGCAGATGGAGTCTGTCAGGGACTGAGGACTGGCCCTCTGGATCGTACTGACGCGTACAGTGCAGGAATGGCAGGCAGGTATTGTTTGTAGTGTTCTGCTGACAGCACATATCTCAGCAAGGATCATGGGTCATCAAGAGCGGGAGAGCGGAGCTCAATGCCATCGATGCGGGCTGGAGTTACACTGTAAGCAAAAACCTGATCCTGAGACGCAGATCAGATCTTTTCACAGCTGTCCAAACACCAGAAGTCAGTCCGCTGGGATTTTTCCACAAGGTCAGGCAGGAGTGGAAGGAGCAGGTCTATGTGTAAACTAAAGATGGTACTGTACAGACAGTTTTTGGTTCCAGTTGGCCACGATGCTTCTCCAACAGCTCCCGGGTTGCTCTTTAATAAATTACAGTCCACGACTTTGAAGACGCCCCTCTTCCCTAGATGCTGATCTTGGCAGAGTTACGTTTTTAATCAATTAATTCCTTCATGCTTCTGGCAAAACGCAAAGCAGGCAAATTGGATGTTATTAAAGTTTCTGTCCCACAGACTGATCCACAGGAGGTTTGTGCTGAGGCAGCCGTTCAGCTTCAGAGCAGAGGGGTTAAACACAAACGGGCTCCCCAAGGAACATAAAGCAGCAATTTAATCCTTACAATAACAAGCAGAACGACTGGATTCTTCCTCCAGAGGAGAATCCAGAGAATGAATGTGTGTTAATGTCCAGATAGTTAATGAACGGAATGTCTACAACTTGGATTTATATTCAGTCTTAAGTGATTTTTGGCAGACGAGTTTGCCAAAAAGAAAGATACATCAGGGCAGGAATGGAGATGGAGCAATAACTGATCTAACTGCATATCTCTAAACTAATATAGAAGGTTTTAGTGTCGGGTTTAGTTTTAGTTCTTGTTGAACCTACACTTGTGGAAGAAACACCGAGTGATGCTTGCTTTCAGTCCAAACAAGGTGCACAGATATTGTTCTGAGGATGGTTTACATCTTTGCATGTTTGTTAAAGGACCTGTTGAGGAGTTTTTCTACGGACTGCGCTGTATAGATTGTAATGTAAAATATTTGACTTTGGGCTCTATAAGTAACACTGACTAGATTTAAAATTCAAATTTTGTGGAAAAAACAACCCAAAAAATATTTGTGTGCCAAAAAGACTTGTACTTGTATTTAATCTCTAAAAAATAAAAACATTGGCATCGGGGCGCCAAACGGCTCTGATGTAACATAAGGGAGTGTGAAATAGTTCTTAGTAACAGGGGAAATAAGTAAACTTCAGGCTCTAAGTTCTGGCTTCTGCTACTTGGCGTAGGAGAGCAGTGTTTACTCAAAGGCTGGCTACAGTGCCAACTCCGGGTGTAAGAAAATATTCATACACTAGGCAGCAGTATGCTCAGTGGTGTATAATCTATACTATTACAGTTTTCCTAAAATTATATATTTTTAAATGAGCAATATATCGCAGTATACTGAATCGTAACCCCTGTAATGTAATACATATCGTATCTCCAGATTCTTGCCAGTACACAGCCGTAGTGCCAACATGAAGTTTCTACTTCTAAAGAGTGGATTGACTGGTAAAGTGAATGTACATTACTGGGATTCTAACTACTCGCAAGTAGTTAGTATCTACAAAAAAATCACCTATTTTGAGTGATTTAGTAAGAGTGAATGTCAAACATTTGCTGGTTTGCTGCTTTCTGTATTTGATATCAGTAGAAATCTGAGGGTTTTGTTGAACAACACAAACTATCTTAAGATGTTACTCTGGGTTTTGGGAAATTGTGATAGCATTTTTCACAGTTTTTTCACATTTTATTGGACAAAATAATCAATCAATAATGCAAATAAGCCCCATTCACAGGAGGGTGAATCTCCAGTCCGTGTAGTTGTGAAAAATAACACACTCATTGGGCTTGTTGTGGATGATGCCTTATATAACACACTGCCCCCCGTTCACCCTGCTGCCCTCAGAGGCTCGTCTCCGGAGCCGGAGCCACTTTCTGCTCAACATGTCCCGCTAATTGTCCCGATATGTCAGTACTGATCAGAGGGGAGAGGAAGCAGAGTTTTACACAGCCTTACTTCATCCATCACACAAACACGCACATACACACAAACAAACAAAGGGATTCAAATGAGCATGTTCATCTTGCACACCCGAGCCCAGTTTCTCCAAACATGCGACAAACACACCCACAAACTCTACTGTAGGTCTGGACTTATTTAAGGACTTGTAGGGCTACAAGCTAGACAATTAAAGTGATCCTCTGTCAGGCCTGCCTGTGTGTGTGTGTGTGTGTGTGTGTACATACAACTCTTCACCGCTTACTTGTCATAATCTGTGGTCGTCAACAAATCTGTCACACGTGTCATATGTCAGTGTGTCACAATCTGTGCAGTCATCATGGAGCTGTATGAGTACTGAGGGACGCTCTGTTCTTCTCTGTGAAAGTCAAGTGTGTGCATATTACACTGCTAAACTGCTAAACTGCAATGACTTTTCCAAGAGTGTGAAGACCTGCTCAGCTGAGTCTTCCTCCCTGTCTAATAGAGGCGTCTGAGTTGTATGTGTCAGATTGGTGGACTGTTCCTTTAACACTGCTACACCACAAAGCTGGCTTTCATCCTTGACTCAGATGATGGAAAAAGCCTGTGACCAATGTACACGGCTGACATCCTCGGACTCCTGCGTCATCTGACCTTTAAACAATACACACTTGTAACTTCCAACTAACGATTCATTTTCTTTACAGATTAACCTGCTGATCATGTTATCAATTCATCAATTATTTGTTTGGTCTATCAAATGTCAGAAAATTGTGAACCACAATTACAGCCCCGGTGTATGTCTCTACCAACCAGTCAAGTAGCAGTTTACATCCATGTCAGTCCAGACTCATTGGTTAATACTTCATACTTCATTATGTGTGTGAAACCTGAATCTTAAATTATGGCTAAAAACCTACTTTGAGCTCACAGTGACCTTTGGCCTTTGAGTGTGACCAATTCACCAATCTCCCCTTCTGCTCCTGAGATATGGTATTTAAGGTTTTTTTCCAGGAAATTATGATGTCAGAGTTAATTTGACCATCATAACTTCATTGCTGTATCCTAATAAACATCTTTGTGACATTTTGTCATGATTACTGTATCAATTCTTGAGTTATGACCAAAGACCTGTTTTTCAAGGTCATTTTTGTGTCAAAAAGTCAAGTCACCAATTCATTGTCTGACTAGTTGGGAAATATGGTCATCAATTCTTGAGTTATGGCCAAAAACATGGTTTGTGAGGTCACAGTGACCTCAGTTCATCCTTGAGTCCAAGTGGACGTTTGAGCACAGTTTGAAGAAATTCCTTCAAGGCGTTCATGAGATATCACATTTAACAGAACGGGACGGATGGACAGATAGAAAAGTCCAAAACATAATGCCTCCAGCCACAGCTATTGCCGGCGAGGAAGCATTAAAAAAAAACTCACAAAGACTGTCTCACTTTTGCCTTTTTAATAGGGCATCATCAAAATGTCCCAGCTGATCTGTAAAATACAGTGGAAGCCATTAAAGAACACAGCACCAAGGCCTACAAGTTCGGGTTATGGGATGTCCGAGGTTACAAGTTGTTACGTTGATGCTTTAGAAAAGGGTCACAGGGAGACACTCCAAATAAACCTTAGCAAATAACAACAAATAACAGCTTGAAGAAAGCTCTGGAGAGGCATTTTAAACAATGACCACCCACCCTTCAGATGACTCAATAACTTCCACCGGATCACCATTTCAAAAACCAAAGAGCTGCTCATCAGCTGTCAAAGCATCTGACCACAAACGCAGCCCTGTCACCACCATGGAGAGGGCGTAGGGGTGACTGAGGATATTAAATATTCAGGCATCCCTTGGGACCAGCTTCACCTAACACTTGCAAACACAAACTAAAAGACCGATGTAAAATATCCTGCAACCTCCCCTCCGCTGACACTGTAGCATCACTCAAACAGTCCCTCTGAGCACAACTAATACCTTCATGTATTCAGTGGGATGACATCGAATGGAAAGATCTCGGCTGGTCTCTGCCGGATGAAGTCAGGGTTAAGGTATGAAATGATCTTGTGTTGTTGTGCTTTGACTGATCTGCTCAGATGGCAGTGCAGAGGAAGGTGACTTGTAGACAGTGAAGTGCAGCCAAGAAAGTCACTTGTCCCTCTGATCAAGTGTCTCCTGTGGGAATCTGAGATCCCTCCACAAGTTTCCTGCTGCACTTTATCCTACACACACTTGTGTGACTGTCTGTGACTGCGTGTTGGTGCACACTTTATTCAACTGCATTAATATTCTATAGAACAAAGTGGGGGAAGGGGCAGCTTGTTGCATTTTAATCAAACACTCCTCTGTCTAATTTTCAAACATAATTAAGAGATAATGATAACTCCCAGCATCATTAAATCCTACAACACTTGTAGTTTCAGGTCAGTTCTTACCTCATGCATGTTAATCCACTCTCTACCAAGCCTATTTCTTTGTCTGTCACTCTGTCCATCCGTCCATCCATCCATCCATCCATCCATCCATCCATCCATCCGTAACTGCTTATCCTTTTGAGCACAACAGCTGATAGTGGGCAAGAGGCGGGTTATACCCTAGGCAGTTACAGGGTTACATAAGGCGTTTTTGAACCGGAGGAATTTTTCATAGTTCTAGGAACACTTTCTATTGTGTCCACACAGAGGAACTAGACAATCATAGCTTAATTGACCATAGAGGTGCTCTCCCAGAACAAGAGGAACTGACTGATGTAAGTGTACGTTGATCGGTCCAGATGTAAGAGTATGTTGATCGGTCCAGATGTAAGAGTATGTTGATTGTTAAAAACACATCGGCCAATGTCGCCCTGGCATTATACATCCATGTTGCGTTATTTTTCTTCCCACCTGTATTCCACAAAGACACCGCCTTACATTGCCTCTCACTGGCTAACCCTAACCTCACAAATTCAATGAAGGCAATCACTAGCCAATCAGACACAGAGTAGGAAAAAATAATGCATCCATCTGACAACAGCACTTGCATTTAAAAAAACCTGTGTTGTTGTATGTTGCGCAGTAGGGACATTTCTACATCAACCGCCGGCCAGCTTATGTCACTTCAGTGTTCCTATCAGAGGTGCAAATGCAAGAAGAAAAAAGCCCTTGAAGGTTTGTAATGTACTGAGCTCCCTAGGGGGCAGTTCCTCTGGGCAATGCCCAGAACTGTTTGGTCTGACACAGTGTTGGGCAGTAAGGCATTACTAGTTATACTATTACAGTAATAATATTGCTTTCCCCAGCAACTAGTCATGGAACTAATTACCAATAGTTAGTTAGTCCCCTCCACTCAAGCTATGTTCATTCCTAAAAGATAATTCTAAATATGACAAAATTAGGGAATGCCACAAATTCTCTTAAAGAGTTTCATGTGACTGTGTCTTGCATGAGGCCCAATGTGTGGTCATGAAGCTCTGTTAGCTCATTTCATCCTGTGTGAATGTCCGGTGTTATGTTTGCACAAATTCTTTTTACCACTAAAAGACTACAAAAAGGAAATTACATAATCAAAACAGCCCAAATGCAAAGCTGCCAAATGTCTCTGCAACAGTTGTTATTTCAGTTTGTTCCGTCTAAGCAGTCTACCTGATGGTTCTCCAACCATCTGAACTTTATGTCTGGCTTCTTCACTCAATATATTGTAATGCTTTGACTTACGTCTGCAGACCAACTACCTTAATTTAGCTCTAACTCAGTCTGAATGCTTTTCTGTCTGTCTGTCTGAGTTTCTGAGGTCAAACACGCTGCACATTTAAACGTCCAGTGTGTAACATTTAGGATCTATTGTCAGAAATGGAATATAATAGTCATAGGAATATTCATTAGTGTATGATCACCAGCATGTTGAACCACCATGTCGCTACAGTAGTAGCCCAGAAAGGAAAAACCAAAACACTTTTGCAAGTTTAATGGCCACCAACGTTTCTCCTATACACTTGGAACGGGAGGATGCGGCAAGGGCGTTACACAGCAAGATGCCACTAAATCCTACATACTGGTCCTTTAAGCGCCAGCATACATATGTAATGTTGAGTAAATTTTACAGTATGTTATGCATGCTGACTCACCAATAATTGGTTTTAGTTTTGGTTACAGCTGTGGAAAAGGTGATCTTGCTCAATATCCAAACTTTCAAACAGAACCCATGTTAGATAACAGATTCACAGACAACCAATGGAGTTAGGATATTAGATGAGGAGTCAAATAGAAAGTTATGATATCAATATCAACAATGACACACAACGCCCTTTAAAAATGTCACAAACCAGTATCATCCAAACCCACATAGCCAGAGCTACTCACCCTCCATGGACCTGTCTCTGCACAATCAAGAGACCACAGAACAACACGCATCAAACCAAACATCAATGGCTCATATAACAGAAAACATTTCATCATGACTGCAGCCTGTGCAGGACTGGGAACAAAACAGGTTACTGTACGCAAGCAACATTTTTATCCTCCAGAAGGACATTTCTTATTACCTGTAACAATGTGAGTCCATGTCCTTCAGTGGTAAAGACTGCAGAAATCACCTAATGTCTGTGTGTGTTCTGTATAAGAAGGGCCAGATTATGTAAACAGTCCTTCTTAGGGATTGGGAAAGTGTATGTAAGGTGTCAAACCTGCCAAATGGCAGCATACGGTGCAGCAGCAGAAGTCCGACAAAAAAAAAAAACATGATGAGAAATGATGAAGTAAAAGACAAACAGCTCATCAGAGAAGCACTCAGCCCCGTCAGTCCACATCAAACAAATGGCTGCGGTGCCGAGCAAGCTAATGCTTTACTGTGGAGCCATATCAATACTATTAACATAACGCATACCATTTGTCTTCAGCAAAGTGGTCTGGGACAGGCATCAAGAGCCCATTCTGAATGCTAAATGGGAAGCTATGGACCAGCAAGTTGTAATGGACATATACATGAGACCTCCACTCGGTCCACATTGTATGCTGGTAGTTTGGCCAGGGAGTTATTACAGCCTCAACAAGGCTGCAAAATGTGTGTGTGTGTGTGTGTGTGTGTGTGTGTGTGTGTGTGTGTGTGTGTGTGTGTGTGTGTGTGTGTGTGCGTAATGTATGTTTGCGTAAATCACCATATGTTCATACCTATTAGAAAGGTTAAATGTTATTATTAACATACACTAGGGAGGATGAGCATTAACATTGCAACTTGTGCTTATGCAATATTTATATGTCAAAAGGATGCAGTGTAACAACACATAGGCCTGTCATGATAATTTATTTTGTTGGACGATATATTGTCCCAGAAAAGATTGTGATTAATGATATTACTGTCATTTTAAGACCATTTTATGCCACCGATATAATGATTATCACAGTATTGCAAGTACACATTTTCAAAGAGCAATGAACTTTTAATTCTTAAGAATATTTAGACACTAGAATTGGAATGTGAAAAAAATAAAAACAATGTAATATCCTAAATAATTAAAGCAGTTAGGTGCTGCGCCCAAACTTTATATTGGTTAGCAAAACCCTGCTGTTTATTATCATGTTGGCTAAAATAATGGTGACATCCTTATGTAAACAAAAAATGATCAAGGTCATGTCCATATGTCATATGATGAGTCAGTTACGTGACAAGTGATAATTACATAATGTATATACTGCATGATAAGTTGATAAATTAATTATCGTGACTCAAATTAGGTCTGATCTCCATTACATAAACCATTTATACAGTGTTTAATGAAGTGTACTACAATTTGGCTTTATAGGTCACACATGAGGGACCTTGTGTACTTCTCCAACAGCCTCTGAACTGAGGCCGGATTCCGGGCCTGGTGAGGACTGGTCTGCATTAAAGGTGTTCAATTTGAGATTGTACCGAGTACTGTGTGTAGAGTGTGTGTAGAGCTGGATGATTCATCCTCTTTTGAACAATGGCTCAAGGAGGTCATAATGTGCCTTCAACACGCCTCGTTTCCCTACAGGATTTTGGGGAGAATCTATCCTTTCCTGCAAGCTTGCTAATGGCATTTATAAGCAGACATTCTGACCATCTTATTTTTTACATCGTGTGTTCAAATCTTTTTTTCTTTTATTATATTGTTGTTTTAATTTATTTTTGCTTGAGGACACAGTTTTAGCTATATTTTTGTTATATTTATATTTACCTTGATCCTTGTATCTTTCTGGTACATGCCCATTAAGGGTCAACTTCAATATGACTATGGCTTGTTTAGGGGTGTAAGAAAATATGAATACACTTGAGTTTCACTTTTTTTGTTTTGTTTTGTGAGATTGCATTGATTCTCAAAAACCCTGTAGTGACTTTTAAACCCCCAACCGCTAGATAGAGTTGTAAACATACACAAGAGCTATGATGTTGGAAGTTACAGGGACTAGGATCAATACAAATGCAGATCCCACTGTTCTGATGGCCCTAAAAAACTTTTTTTACTCAGATTGAATGCATATGGCATTGTGTTCCTTTATACTATGTAATAATATAATCACCTTACTTACGGTATTACAATATATTGAACAGTAACCCCTGCATTGTATCACAAGATTCTTGCCAATAGCTTGTTCTTATATTAAAGTATATAAATGCACTCTCAACTCTCAACATGAGGAGTCTGCAATTGTCTGAATGTACTGTATTTTTCTTTTCTTTGTTGTTGCTGTTGTTAGTACTGTTAACACTATTTGCTTGAATAAATAAAGTGTTCAGGGTGACTTTCGAGTGACACTATGCATTCAGGTTTTTACCTTTTTCTTGAGAGCCTCCAGAGACTCAAACTCCAGGCGGGCCAGTTTGATCTGGATGTGTTTGGGGACATCTGGGATGACGACGGTCAGGATGAACTTGAAGGCCAGCAGCCCATGCTGAAATCACAGAATAACAAACACATCAAGGGGATTAAAATAGTCCGGTCTTTTCAGCCTTTATTTGCATCCTTTTTGTTAATATAGTAAGGACGCAAACATGCTTTGAAAGAGAGATCACCATAACTTGATTATATTTTTATGGCATGGTGTCCTTCCTGAGATACTGTGCTGTAAAATCAGAGAGGACAGAAGACCAGAAGGGGAACGTCCTTGAAGCTGAGTGAGGCCAAGAAATGAAGCAGTTTGGTTACACAGAACAGTCAGTGTTGGCTCTGTACTCCAACCCACACATTTCGAAATGAAACAATGACCATGAGGTTAGAGTGCATAGTAAATATGTCAACGTCAGTGGCTGTCTACTGATGTCTGGATTGTAGACTTCAGACACTTAGTAAATTACAGCCGTGAAGGTGGCTGTAATTCACACACAATTGCTGGTTTTGGGGGCTTTTTGCATTCAGTCTGGTCTTCAACTATAAAGCACTAAAATGACTATGGGTCCTATGTTGTTGGTGGCACAACACCACGTGCAGAGCAAGTTATTGCAATGAGAATAAACGTCTCAGAACCACACCAGTCTCTATAAATGAGTAAATGCTGCTGTGTCAGATTTTAAGATATGATGCAAGTGTTTAAAATGGGATATAGTAAATATAGTAGAAATAAGAGCAGAATAGCGTTGGTTGGATGCAATCATATAAACTGCTTCAGTTTGTTTATTAATAACCACACCCTCTGATCTAAATTCACCTTCACCCAGCCCTTTTGTACTTTTTGCTGCTGCACAAACATGAGCTAAAATAGCAGGTGAAGATGCCCATAGTCTGTGGCATACCGCTTTGATCATGTCGTTGAACTTGCACAATTAAAATAGCACCCTATGAGTCTTCCACTGTGCACCGTACATCCATTTGGACTGAAAATAACCCCTTCAACATCATAGGAATGTGTTTCATATGAAATCCACTGTGCTGGACTATGGAGCCAGTACAGTGAAAAACACATCACTGTCCTATTGCAAATATTGCAAATTACTTCTAAGAATCCGAATATGACAATAAACCATCCTATATATTGCACTGCATCCTGTTTTTTCTACATTATTACTAGTAGAATTTACAGGAAAATAAATATCAGGCTATATATGAAAACAGAACCAGACACAGGGTATCTGCAGGTTAAATGGACTTAAAAAAGAATATGAAGGAAAATCGGGATTGGTTCCATGGCGGTTTTGTTTTGCAGTTCTTACAGCACGATCAATACAAATATTTTCCAAAAGACCCATTTGAAAGAGATACTTTTGAGGTTTTTTAACACCTTGTAACATATGAGCTATAGCTAATACTGTGTGCTCAGAAGGGAGTGTGTTTTCCCATGAACATGACAGTACACATTCCCTTACATGTATGCTGAGCAAACACAGTTCTCAAATGGCCACCAACACACACACACACACACACACACACACACACACACACACACAAATACTAATACACACTTAGAAGGGCGGGCCGCGCACTCACACCTGTGCCAGTCCATCTGGAGGACGGCCAACTGCCATCAGCTCCTTTGATTCAGTACCCTTTTCTTCATCATAGTAATGGACTGGTGTGCGCTACAGTAGATGGAACAAATGGTGTGAGACTGAGAGCAGATAAGAGGGAAGACTGCTCCATAGAAATGGGTTTCAGGCTAAGTGATTTGTGTAAGAAGAATGATTATGAGCTTCCAGTGGTAATATGTTCAGGTCTAATATTTTCTCTAACTTGATAGGTTAGCACTACAATCCTCACAAAACATTAATGTTAATTTAGCTTCCACCAAGTATGTTCATCTAAATGTAGAAACCATCCCATCTAGTCACACATCATAATTCCACCTTTAATTTTACTAAATGGACCTACACCAGCAACAGCCCAGTGATCTTTTTAAGAAATCTTCTTGATTTAGTCAACATTATTTGTGCACAGGTAACACTAGATGATGTTTCCTGTGAAATGTATGGGATTTGCTTCTAAGAAGAGCTGTTAAAGGTTATATAGATGACATTTAGAACATCACTCTCCCTCTGCCTGTGTTGCTATCAGCCTCTCTGTGGTTTATTTCCATAGCCGGTCTGCTCCGTGAGCAGGTGAGTAAAGCGACTGTAACTGCTTTGCTCATAAACGTTGGTGAATAAAGGGCTTGTTTCGACCAAACTAGAGTTGACTGTTGGAACAGTGGGAAGGCTAACAAAGCAATTTTATATTGTATCTGTCCACTTTGAATAAAGTTCCAATATTACAATGATATGAGGGAAAATTCAATTTCTTTCCTATAGAGTCTGGCAAGTGATATCGATAATACTGCTGTGTCTGGTTAAACAAAAGGCTGTATATCTGTAGATATACTTTGAATAAAAGTCTGAGCCCGTCAGTGGCAAAAACAAGCCCTTTTATTGTACGTGCTTTGACGGGTGCCTTTGTCCCCAAGGATTAGCGTTAGCTTAAGTTGCAGCCACTGCAGCCCTTTTCAAAAATATTTTAACATCTGATCTCAATGAATTAAGGGGTTTATTTTGACCAAACTAGTATTGGGGACAGTTGGAAAGACTGTGGAAAGACTAACAAAGAGAGTTTTATTTTATTTCTGCCTCACTGTTTTGGTCTGATATGCTGCTCTAGTGCGACATCCAGTGTCAAGTGAATGTGTAAAAGTGAACCTTTCAAAAGAAACGGCAATTTTGAGGCCTGGTATTGAATAAAAGTCTGTTCTTTTTCTTCAGGCACAAAGAGTAACATTATTAGCTTAAAGAAGCACAGACTTAGAAGTTTTGTCATTCCAGTCAGCACAGCAGCTTCAATAATTAACAAGCAGAACAAGCGAAGAAATCCCTGATCTTAGTGACTTGTCATATTGATTGAAAGTGCACAATAAACACTCCAGCTCTTAGTTGATTGCTAATGCAATTCAAGGCTAATTTGTATTTCTGAGTGTTCAGCAGCACAAGGTTGGGCAGAGACTGTGAGGACGCCCGGTTAAAACTGGAAGGAGAATGTGAATTGTGAAATAATGCTGTTCTTTTCAAGGTCTGTCGATAAATTCTGATTTGCCTGACATAATGGACATGATGCATCAGTTTGAAAGGTATTGTCATTGTCATCGCTACACTGAGTACATACATTAAGCTGGCATAGGAACTTGATTTGACTGATGTTCTCCTTCACACACATGATCCCCCATGTATCCTCCTGTGCATTCACAATGGCTTGTCCTCTAGACCAAATGCTTCAAATTGGGTCCTTAGTACCACCCTAAATTTTATTTTAGCTAATTTGGTAATGAGGATAATAATCCCCCAGACCCAGCTGGTGTCCTGAACATGAAGACTATCATCTTAAAACATAAGAGCAGTAAGGTCTTTGAGAGTAACTACAGCTACAGCGCTGACAAGACTGGCACAAATCAAGAGGACCACAGTGCAACTGCTATTTCCACTATTCAGTATTCAGTACTCAATGCTGTTACCATGACACCCCTTCACTGTTAATTGGAAAATTAGCATTTCAATCCACCTTCAATTCAACTGATGAGGAACTACTAATGCTATCGTTTCATGTGTGATCTGACATGAGCAGAATATGTCATTCAAACTCAGTCTTTCTGGCACTATAACACTGTAGTCTTCACTCTATTTCCTTTTCCAGGACGCACTGTTGCTTATGAAAGTCATCAGAGTAGCTACAAACATGGGGTGTTTAAAAAGGGCAGCAATGAGGACACAGCAAAATAAGGAACATGTCTTTTGAGATACAAAAGAACTTTGGAAATACAATTCTGACCACAGAATCGTTTTAATCCTCAGAGACTTTACTGTTGAGCTACAGAAGTTATGGCATTGTTCATTTTCAAGTTCATTTAAGTGTCACTTAAAGCTGTACTAACGGATTTTATTTGGCCACCTGGGGGCAGCAAAACAAGCTGCAAACACAACACTGGTATATCATTGCCTAATAAAGTTCATATGGTGAACATGCGAGCAAACAGTGGCCTATTTACACAGTATCCAACCAAAATAGAGCAACATTAGCATTCATTTGCTGTTGTTTAGCTCTCTACCAACACATGGGATATATCTGGCTGCTAAATGCTCCACTGTGTTCACTGGTTACTTGCTAACTTTCTCTGTCTGATATTTTGTGCTGGGTTAGCAGCGTAAATTGATTTATCTGAGTGATTTCACTTAAAATTGCTGTCTGTTGCTTAAAACGAGGTAAATGAGAGCACTGAAAGAACCAGAGCAGTTTAGTGTCAGGTAACAAAACCAACAGTAAATGCTAAAATGCTCTGTAGAGCTGAGGGGAACTGCAGAGTTAAGGGATACTTCAATAATGTGGGTTTGTCACTATCAGTGACACCGTTCACATCACACACACAGCTGTTTAACCCATTGCAATTCTAAAAACATTGATGGGTGCAGCTTTAATGCATCCTTCTCTCATAGCGGATCAATGAAATACTAGGCTAGCTCCTTCAAACCTCTCACACGCATTACCTTTGACAGAAACAGCCTACAGTCATCAGAAAAGTAAGCGTGGGTTTGGATCAAAGAGCAGCAAACCTTAAAGCAATCCACCCAGACAGATCAGCGGGACCAACCCACCACAGCGGTTACGGTCGCCCCAGGAGGAGACGAAGTGAGCCGTATAGCAGCCATGCTGGCCTAGCTTTGGGCTAATGTCCAATCTGGATGAAATGGGGGTGGCCAAACAACAGGGAATCAGAGTCTTTTGTGCCCACATCTTTACAGAGACCTGCTCCATCAGCATCTGGGATCTAGCACTCAACAGGCGGACCATGTTCCAAGCTGACAGCGCAGGATGAGAGGAGGCAGACTCTGTATTTACATTGATGATGCTTGGTGCTCAAACACAGTCAAAGTGGATGGACACTTTCTTTTTATGTGAAGATGAAACCTTATTATCATCACTATCTTGTTGCTGCAACCAGATGCA